TGGGCTAGTGAGATGGCTCAGTGGGTAAAAGCGCTACGTAAAACCGGAAACCTGAGTTCAACCCCCTGACCCATGTAAAAGTAGAAGAATCACTCCACGAGATCATCCTCTGGCCTCCACACATGTTAGTACACACACACACACACACACACACACACACACACAGGGTTTCTTCCCTCACCGGTATTCTTGGTATTTTGGGTTGTGGTTTCTTCCCTTGGTACCTTCCACTGGTATTTTTGGTATTTTGGTTTGTGGATTCTTCCTTTAAAAACCCCTCGTGTGTGCGCTCGCAATAATTAAATAATCCATGTGTCTAACTTCTGCATATTTTCATATTTTTTTTGCTGCTGTGATAAAATACTATGTACAAAGTCAACCTAAAGTTTATTTTAGCTTAGGGTTTCCAACATCAAGATGGCCATAACAGTAGGGAAAGTGTGGTGGCGGGAACAGGAAGCTATGGCTGAAGCTGATGGTATTTCACCTCCATCTGGGAAGCCTCAGCTGCCTGCCTGAGACTGGCCCTTCAGTAGTCATGGGGAGGAACCTGAATGTGTGACACAGAAGAGATTTTTCTCAAAGCAACATTAGAGCTCACAGATGACTATGTCTCAGGACTGGGACCCACGCTGAGTCTCTCATGTCTATAGCTGAGGGATAAGTATATGACACCTAGGGACCCCAGCATCCTCTGTCAGGCCACCGGCCCACATCAAGTCCCCAGGCAGCACCAGCCTTCAAGCTGGAAATCATCACCCAACCCTGGAGCTAGCCAGCCTTGGCCTTGAATGTGTTTACTATGTGAAATACGTCTTTTTCATAAACTATAACTCCAAATTTCCAGGAGAAAGAGCAGAGGGACTAGCAGGCAGCCTCTCTATGTGGACACAGTAGACAGGTGGATATCTGTTTAGGCAGCATGTGTATATGCAAGAATGGTCTCTGGCCACACTATTCGGACATACATGATCTTGTCTGAAAACTCAAGTTTCACAGAATTGAAAGCATGTGCCTTGCAGGTGGCAAATGTGGGGTCACTCAGAGGTGTCTGACTACCTGCAAGCTCCTGCAGCTCTACTCTCTGATCATATATAAGCAGCTGGCTCAGCATGTGTTATTGCTTCTGTTTGGGGAGCACAGCAGTTGTAGGCTCAATACAAGGAATGTTTACACTCATAACTGGGTGTAGAGAATGCTAAGAATCTGCTCTCTGAGTTGACAAAGTCCAGAGCTGAGGAGGGCACTGAAGAGCGGCTTAGGGAGGGCATGCCTGTTGCCAAGCTGGAATGAGCCGCTCCTTGCTTCCCACCCTGCATTCCTCCTCCAGTTCTGGCTTCTTTACAAGTGATTAGGAAGCCAGTCACATTGGGGAGTGGTACACAGAACTGATCTGGTGCATCCCAGGGTCCTCTGTGTCCAAATCAGGAGATCTGGCACTAGTGACAGGAGGTGGCTTTGCAGGCTCCAGGGCTCAAGCAATCAAGAGTAGATCTGATCTTCCTGCCCCAGCTCTGAGCCTGGGCTTTTCCTGCACAGGGTCTTTCTCCACCACTTGAAGGATTGTTGGAACTATCAGAGTGCATTGGGCACAGAGGGGAGGAGCCTGTGGAGACACAGGAAGCTGAGAAACATCCAGAGCCCTTCTGCTGGCCCTCATTCCCTTAAGCTGGCCCTCTGCACCTATGCTTTGATGGCCAGTTCAAGAGTAGCCAGGGTGATTCACGGCACTCCTGGATAGAACTTGGAAAGGTTCCTGCTTCAAACACCTTCTCCCCCTGGCCCAAGAGTGTATTCTCTAGGGGTGTGACCATGGAGGCAGGGGATCAAGATCTCTAGAGACCCACATGCCAGCCATGGATCCCCTGTGCTGTGTCCCACACACAAGTCAATTCAATCCATACTCCAGTCCCACAGACCCCACAAGCCATCCCAAACCCAGTCCATATCTTGACCCGGCACCTGCATTTAGGAAGAAAAGGGTAGCCCACACTCGAGGTATGACTGGCTTGAGCCAGAGGAAGCTCCCTCTACCCTGGTGTCAGGCTTTGTGATTTAGCCGAGAGATGAGTGGGGGATAAAACATGCACTGGAAACACTTTCACAAATCTTAGTAAGTTTAAGAGTTGTACCACCACCTCATTCAGCGGGTGCAAACACAAAATGAGCCTGCCCACTTCAGCCCCCTCCACAGGCAGTCACACTGCCATCCAGGGACCTCACCTTGCCTGGACTTCTCCAGCAAGCAGCATCCCAGTTTCTGTTTTCACCTTGTTAGCACTTTGTTGCTCTTTACTGCTGAAGGTTCCTCCCAATTTGGCTTTGATGACTGTCTGTTTTAGATGTGTATCTCCAAAGCTTAATTCTGGAATGTTCTCAGCAGGCTCATCTATTGGTAGAAGTTAGAAAGCAGGAGATGGGAGAGTTGGGCTGAAGACAGCCAGGGTCCTGAAAGAACCTGGGTAAGTAGCCCCATTTCTTTTTCTTTTTTCTTTTTTTGTTTTTTTGTTTTGTTTTTTTTTTTTTAGAGACATGGTTTCTCTGTGGCTTTGGTGACTGTCCTGGAACTAGCTTTTGTAGACCAGGCAGGTCTTGAACTCACAGAGATCCACCTGCCTCTGCCCCCTGAGTGCTGGGATTAAAGGCATGAGCCACTACCAAACAGCAAGTAGCCCCATTTCTTCCTTGTGCTCTTACACAGTGCAAAGTCACAACCTGAGTCAAAACTTGATCAGCCTAAACCAGAATATGGCACGTGGGGTTGGCACCCACATTTATAGGCATTACAGCTACAGATCCAACCAGATTCCAATAAAAGGTATTTGTAAATGGAGCTGAATGGCTCAGTCAGTAAAGCGCTTATTACTCAAACACAAGGGCTTGAGATTGGTCAACCCAGAATTTACATAAAAATTCAGGTGCAACATGTGCCCATTTCCAAGCACTGAGGTTGGGGATGGGGACAAGAGAATTCCTGGAACTTGCTGGCAAACCAGTCTTACTGAATCTATGAGGTCTGGGTTCAGTGAAGAGTCCATGTCTCATGAAAAGAGGTGGAGAGTGGCAGAGGGGCACCCAGTGTCAACCTCTACCTTCCCCACACACATACATGCATGATCCACCCCCATCAATGTGTGCACCATCCCCACACATGTACATATATGCACATGCAAAAATATTTGGAGAGAAGTCCTACATGCCCTGAGCATACACTTTTCCTCGTTAATTCCCCCAAAAGTGCAGCACTACAAGTGTGTTCATAGTGTGACTTGGCATTTGATGTTACCAGCCACCCAGAGGGGAGGTCACAGGAGCAGGTACATCACAGGCAAGCTATGATTTCAACGGGCCTGAGCATCTGTGGCTCTTAGCTCCCTGCGGTCCAGAACCAAATTCACACAGAGACTGAGAAGTGGTACTGAGGAGTGGTGCTCACATTTCTGTTTCATAGAGACAGAATGCTGCTGCCTTTAGAGAAGGCAGAAGACCATGGTCCCTGACTGTGGTCCTCCGGGTGCTGTTGTTCAGGGTAACCAAGGTTGAGTAGGGTCAGTAATCAGGGAGCATTACAGCTACCTGGCTGGGAGATACAGGGCATCTTCAGGAACTGATACAGTCTTTGTGAACTGCCATCCCAGGCATGCAGCCACGGCCCTTGGTACTAGACAGCCTGTGAGCCCTGGGTTATGAGCCACCAGAGATTCGGTTTTAGGAAATCTGTCGAGTTTACCAGTAATGACACGAGTCTAGAGATGTTTGTAATCCGTTTGCCAAGTGTTACCTGTAATGCATCAGCCACAGGGCCCCAGACTACTGAGCAGAGTTCTGCCTGGCCCAGTACTGGGCACTGCATCCAACTTTGGCTCCGGGACCACTCCTGCTGCCCTCTCAGGACCCCTGGGTGCTGCATGCAGTAGAGGTGTTGCCAATGTCCCTCTCCTGGCCACCAATACAGTCAGAAGAATAGCCAGCCATACTTAGCTGCCGTATTGGAACTGATGCCCACCTCTGGGGTGAATCTTGTTCAGACAATGAACAGGCTCTGAGAACGCAACAGAATAGTGTGTACAGTGTTGGGAGCTTGGATCTATGTCTTGGGGGTCTTTCCCATTAGCTCAGTGTGACGGACACTGACTTTACCTGGTGAGGAAGAGAACTGACCACAAGCATCCAGGAAGTCTATATGACATGCTGTAGCAGAGAGCAAGACCTCAGCCTGAGTGGAGACAGCTGGCAGCAGGGTCTGAGCTACCCCCTAGCTGTGTCAGACTCTCCCGACTCAACTCTAAGTTCCTGGCACTGGCCCCTGCCTGTTCAGAGCCTGCTGTGTGTCAAGCTGCTTTTCTTGGATTCTGAAGCAGGACTTTCTCTAATGCTGCCCCCAAGCAGGACAGGGAAGACCTCTGGATCTGAATGACCTGCTCAGTGCCAGTCCTTAGAGTTCCCAGGTGTTTGCTCATCCTGGCGCTAGGCCACACAGCTTGACTTTTTAAGTGTCCATCACTGTGAGATGTATAGCCTACTTCTTGGCCTTAACCACCTGCTGCAGAAAGAAGGGATGCCATGGTTCTGGCCTCTGCGTGGTCTTGCCATCCTCTGAGGAGCTGAAGGAACATCTCATGGGAGTTAGGGCCCCATCACCTCCCGTCAGGAAACACAGTGCTCCTGGCTTTGCATCCTGCCTGAGAGCGGTGCCATTGCTTGCCTGTGTTCCAGCAGCCTCCACACACCCAGCATGACAGCCCCGACCTTTGTCCCTGCTCAGCCACTGAGTTCCCAGTCTTTCCTGGAGAATGTCTGGACACGGCCAGCACAGACAGTACAGCTGCATATGGGAGGTGACAACACCCCCCTGCACTGATGACTAGGGAGGACATGGGAGAACTGGCATACTGGTGCCACCCGAGTGGGAGGCTTAGGACTGCCCTACTTCAGCGTCTTCTGCGAGAATCGGTACACAAAGACTGCTTCTGAGAGAGCCCTTGTGTACTTCCCAACAGAGACACCAATATCTGGCACCCTGAGATGAACTCCGAGCTCAGGGACATCCTAGTGCTACTGCCTACCTGGGAACAACTGCGGCTGTCAGTGGAGGTAAGCAGAGAGACATCAGGGGTTCTGTATCCAGAGGGGTCGGGAGGACAGCTGTGGAGAGCAGCAGCCATGGATCCATAAGGACCAGGCCACATGGAGACTTTGCATCTTGAGGGGCGGGGGACAGTCAGAGCCATGTGTCCGGAGGGTTATGGGGGTGGACCATGGAGGCTGTGTGCCTAGAGGGAAGGGTGACAGCAAGGATCAAGTGTAGGAAACTCCAGGTACAAGAGTATATGGGATTTCTACTTCACTATGAAGTACACCACTGTGGCCCAGTTAGCACTAACCTTACCAGTCACTTAGAGTCTAGTGTCTTGGCTTGCCTGGTCCGCATGGGGTGCTGGGCTGTTTGGTTCCCCCTCTGTATCCAGGATCATGGGTTTCCCTGTCCCTCGGGCTGTCTACAGAGCTTCCATGGGCTGAGTTTATTATGCGGGACCCGGCTGATCTCTGAGTACCCTGACCTCCCATGATTCAGGGTGGTGACATAAGAGAGGATTTGTCAGCTCAAGAGGGTTCTGAGCATGACTTTCCTGACCTTTAACCCTGGCACAATCTGGACTTTGATATCTCTACCTTCTGTGTTTCTGAGTCTTCAGTTCTGAGTCATCTTCCCTGCTGTCCCATCATCAAGGATGCAACGTCACAGGACACACCCCCTTTCCCGGGCCACACAGTTTCCTCTCTATCTTCTCTTCACTCTTAGCTTCACACCTCCCCAGGTGATACAGGCTGTCCCTCTGTCCAGATTCTATGGGCATGGGATTGTATGAGCCTCAGTTAGGCCTCTTCCACCCTGGGGACAGGGGCTTGCTAGCTGTAGTTTCTACAGCTAGGACCTCTATAGTACCTTTCCAGTGGGGACATTTTTAATCAAGTTCAGCTTGTGGGGTAATTCCCACAGTACCCAGACTGCTCCTAAAGAAAAAGGGGCATCTCCTGTCTGGATTGGAACACATCCTTTCCACTGCCCAGGCTGTTCTTTTTGGGAAGCAATGTTTAAATCCATGCTTTGGAAACAAGTGGGTGACCCAGGCCCTAGTCCCTGGCTCCATCCCCTGCCTGACCTGACACTGCTCCCTTCCTGACCCAGTGTCCCTGCCAGTCCAGGGCTCTTATGGGGAAGTTCTGTATATGGCTTAAGTCCTTCCTCTATTCCAGGTCACAGCCACAGGACAAGAGCTCTTCCGGCAGGTATGTGATACGGCACACATCCGAGACGCCCACGTTTTTGGCCTCAGCGTGGTCAGAAGTAAGCATTGCTTGGCATCCCCAGCACAGGCTGCCCAGGGGCAAGAAACAGGGGTCCTTGGAATTCAGGTGTATCTGCCTTGCCACAGACCCTGCCCACATCTAAACCAGCTGGGTCATCACGTCCAGAGTCTGCATGCATCTATGTACACACATGCATGCACACTTGGACACATGCACCACAAAATGTGCATACTGCTCACACAAATACAGAGCACATGTGCACACACATATACACACAGACTCACTCCACAAGCGTGTGCACATAAATATAGACCACGCACGTAACACAAGCACCCACCACATACTGCATGCATACCACGTGACACATACCCTCGCACACGTCCAGTTAAACCATGTATACCCTCACACATTCATTCACATGCAGTTACCATACACATTCAAACACGCATGCCCATACTTGCATGCTATGTGTCTGTGTACAAATTACACACATAGTGCATGTCCATACATTAACTCATAGGCACACTCACTCATCCTTAAGCATGCACTTACCCTGCACACCTGTACACATTCATATGCTCGTGAATGTGAGAACCAAGTTGGGCAGAAGACCAAGGAGCTCCAACCCAGCAGAGAAGGGACAGGAGGCAGGGACATTGGGCAGCCCTGGCCAGTAGCCTTGTCTGAGCAGGGGGTGGCATCTGCCAACCACGTCATGCTGTCTGTGGAAGTAGGAAGCAACTCTACCCAGATCTGACTGCTGTGCCCTGCTCTCTGTATCCCAATCTGCTCACTGACACAGCTACTATGCTCATCAGTGCAGAAGAGCCACAGAGATTTCTTTCCCATGGGATAGGACAGCCACCTCCTCTTAGGGGAGATGATCCTTGGTCTAGAGCAGGATGCTGCTCTAAAGAAGACATCTGGGGCATGACTCTATGTCATGCCTGTAGGTCCCTCAGACCTGGTTCTCTTGGACCCCAAGGAGCCTAGAGCAGCAGATGAAATGGCGAGGGGTGATAAGGGTGAAGCCCTAGGAAGTGCTTGGTAGAGTCCCCATAGAAGGAGACTCTAGCAACTGCAGTGGGTAGCCCTGTGCTCGTCAGTAGCTAGGTAGAGTCCCCATAGAAGGAGACTCTAGCAACTGCAGTGGGTAGCCCTGTGCTCGTCAGTAGGGCACTGCCTGGGTGGGGTGGGGACCCAGAATTCAGTTTCCCTGGAGATCCCTTTAAAGACATGGGTTATGTGATGCCAAGCTACAGGTGACTGGTATCTGGTGTGCAAAGCCAAAGCCCATGGTATGACCAAGACCAAGCCATGTATTCTATGACCTTTGTCTTAGCTGAGGCCCAACGTCAACACAAGGAGGTGTCCACACATTAGGACTTTGACAGCTGGGTGGCCACACCTAGGAAATGGACTTGGGTAATCAGGGAGCAGACACAGGAGGCCATGGGTTGTAAGTCCAGGTCTATTCTAGTTGAGAGGCCAGTCTGTTAGGGCCTGAAAGGTGGAGTCTCAGCTTGCTGGAACTAGGAGTGAATGTTTGCTCAGACTGTGCCTTCTCCCAGCAGGGGGTACTCCTCATGGGAGGGGTTCAACTCTTACCAACCAGCCTCACCATCCATCTCCTTCCATGTGAGATGTCTCAGGACACGGGCAAGGGAAGAACTTGGGATGAACTAAGGAATCTCTCCGTACAAGGGGTGATGGGCTCTGAGCTCACCTGGGGACCTGGGGAGAGAAGAAGGCTGCCAGCTGAGCCAAGCATGCCACTCCTTCCTGCTGAGCTCGAGCCGATGGGTACCCCTGTAATGTGTGCCCAGAGCCTTGCTATGGAGACTTGAACTCTTATTATAGCATGACCTTGGGTCCCCTGCTTTAGTTATTCCATGATCTATAATTTTGGCACACTTCTGAGACTGAGATATGTAGCAAACTGCAAACATGTAGGCATGGTGGTGAGGCATGTGATCCCAGGACCTGGGGCCAAGGCAGGAGGATCAAGAAATTGAAGACATGCTGGGTGGGATTCATGGAGTCTACCCTGGGCTGTGATAACTTGCCTGGAGGGGGGGAAGACAAGCAAGACATGAGCCCTCAAGGGATTGAGACAGGGTAAGCAAAAGAAAGATAGAGAACTGGTACCATTCTACCTGGCTCTGGTTTGTAGTACTTAGAACTTCTGAAGACAGGCTGATGTGTCTGGCTCCCCTATCTACCTGGAGCTGGCCTTGAGCAGTCCTTCCCTTCATAATAAATTTCAAGGCTAAGAGGAGAATGGAGGAGACCTGGACACTTTACCCAGTCAGTAGGCTTTTGCTCTGTGCCCAAGTACACATGCCTCAGGTTAAAAGGGTGATTCTGGCTGTAGAGAGAGTTGGGAAGGCTTCTGGGGTTGGTATTACCCTGCTTGGTTTGGGGCAGCCTGTAGAGCTGGTTCTTTCTCTTTCCTATAGCAACACGCCCCTCCTAAAGCTAAGTCTATGTTGACACAGGGTCTGCAAAGATGCAGTTGGGAGAAACATTTATTTATACGAGGTGAGTAGGGTCAGAGGAGACTGATGCCATCAAGTCTGGAATCTACAGTCAGGATACCAATGCTGTAGCTAGGGCACAAAGGTTGTGTGTGGCAGCTGTCCACCCTACTAGGACTGCCTAGACTAAGTCCTTAGGAGTCTGGATGAAACCTCCATGCTCAGCACACTAATTATCATTCCTATGTGGAGTGGATTTCAGTGTCAGTGTTGGTTCCGAGACATGCGCTGGTCTCAGGAGGCTCTGTCTCCACTAGTGTTGCTACAAACATTTCTTTTACTGCACCTGAGGATAATCTGGTGCATCTCCTCAAGATAAAAATTCCACAGGTCCACTAGGCATTAGTGACACACACCTTTAGTCCCAGCCCTCAGGAGGCAGAGGCAGGCAGATCTCTGTGAGTTCGAGGCCAGCCTGGTCTACAAAGAGAGTTCCAGGACAGCCTCAAAAAACCCAAAGAAAAACAAGCAAGCAAACAAACAAAATTCCACAGGTCCATAGCCAGGCAATCTCCCTGCATGAATGAGGTCTCCATCCATCCAACCCTAGTGTTTACTCCTGTGCCATCCTCTTGCTCATCTTCTCTTCCCTGGCCCACAAGATACTTCCTCTTTCTCAACCTGCCCATCTCAGGCTACTTATTTCAGGACATAGGCATGGTAAGGAATTCAAGCGGCCTCCTGGAGTTCTCTGGATTACCCAGGAGGGCAACTGTCAAGGGTAATGATGTGTCCCAGTTTCTATCCTGGCTGTGGGGTGACATCAACTGCAGTGTCAGCCCTTGCCTTCGAGGAGCTGGTGACTGCAGGGCCCAGCCAGCTCTTTCTCCTCCATGGAGGCCACAGGTCACAACAAGAAGCCAGCTAGGAATTTTATTAAATCTGAAATGTGGCCACTTTCCTGGGTCATGCTATACATAGGACGCTCAGCCTGCCATGTCCAAGGGACCTGCAGGAGAAACAGTTCTCCCACAGGGATAGGGCCCTGGGTGTATATCGGCCCCTGCTTGCCTGGGTTTTGCAGAATTCCTGTTTACCTCATGTAATTGCCCTGGCAACAGGCTCTGATTTAAAGAGAGTCCCTCTGGGTCCCTCCTGATGCTGGGATATAAGGAGTGGAGGAAGCAGCAGCAGGCTCTTCCCCTTGGGGACCACTGTCCACACTGCTCCAGTCATGTGGAGGCAGACAAGGTTGTATTTTGGCAATACTGAGGATTGAACCAAGGGCCTTACATAAGTGGGGTAAGCATTCTACCACCGAGCTACAGCCCCAGGATTCCGGGTTTTTTTGTTTGTTTGTTTGTTTGTTTGTTTCAGAAAAGTTTTAGTTTCATAGCAAAACTGAGCAGAAAGTACAAAATGTTCCTTACAGCAAAAGTTCCTCCACCTACCCCAGCTGGATGCAAAGATGTCAACAGACAGGCTCGGCTCCTGCCTGGTGAGACTCCTGGGAAGAACAAAAGTGTCTTCTCTGCCCTTGACTTCTCTTTTCCAGACAATGAGTATGTGTTCCTAGATTTGAAGCAAAAGCTCAGTAAATACTTCTCGAAGGACTGGAAGATGGAAATGAACCAAGTAAGCAGAGGACAGACGGAAGGGCCAGGGCCATCACTGTGGCCAGTGACTGGGATGGTTCTCTTGGGTTTGGGATGGGCATGTGCTGCTGGGTCAGGCCCACTCTTTGTCCCCGCCATGGTCACCTGTCTGTCAAGAGTTGTCCTCTGGCCTGCTTGCAATGCCCTCAAGTCCCTCTACTTTCGTCCTAAGGGTTGAGGGTGGGTGGATCACCAGTCCCGTGCCCTCAGTGCGATGCTTGCTTGCAACTGCCCTTGACAACATCCCACATGGGTTTTTCCCCTTTAAAGAAAAATAAGATAAAACAAAGGATGCCCTTTGACAAGTGCAAGTCCAGTGCTGGTGCCTAGACCACTAAGACCTGAGTGTGAAATGTCCCCAGGCCTGTGGAAGCTCACCCGCTGTGCATACCTCATTTCCAGGCTCCTGACACTCTCTCCTCTCTCTCTCTCTCTCTCTCTCTCTCTCTCTCTCTCTCTCTCTCTCTCTCTCTCTCTCTCTCTCTCTCTCTCTCTCTCTCTCTCTCCCCAGAGGGATAAGATATCCAGGGCACCCTTTATCACCTTCTTCAGAGTGCAGTTCTACGTGGAAAATGGGAGGGCAATCAGGTAACTGCGTTTCTACCATCAAAGATGCTGTGTGGAAAGGGAAATGCAAGCCACAAGATGTGCAGTGCCTCCCAAGTGTTCCCTGAAAAAGAAAGGTCCCGTCATAAGGATGTGACCTCTTCCAAGCCAGGCACTCCTGCACGCTGAGGAAGGTGTCTCCATCTAGTGGCTGTAGGGGACTCTCAGAGTTGGGCTTTAAATGGGAATTGTGTTCCTGCCAGGTGTCCCCAAGTCTTCTTAGGCAGGGAGGGTCCTGGGAACGGTGAGTAGAGAAACGGAAGGATTTTGCTTTCCAAGAGGCATATCTGCTGCCATCGGTAGGCTGCCTTGCTACCTGACAGGAAACAGTGCTCTCTTTAGGGACCACCAAAGAACTGTTTACTCCCCAAGCAGATTTCTGGGAAGTTATCAGCAGGGCTTGGGTGTCCTTGGGATGTCCTTTGGCAAGTGCAAGTCATGCTGGTGCCTAGACCATTAAGACCTGAGTGTGAAATGTCCCCAGACCTGGCGAACGAGGATGTGGAAGACTCCAGAGTCCGATTATGCAACTTTGAAGGCTCTAGAGAAGGAGGGCATGTGTAGCTAACCAAAAAAGGTTCTAGAGAGTGAGAATGTGTGGCTATGTGGAAAGTTCTAGCGACACCTTAGCAGGGGAAACCAGATGGGACCTGATGCATGGTTCCCTATACTGTGGTGGCTAGCCAGGTTGCTATATTAGAAGACCTAGGAGAGGTTCTGGGGATGGGGGTGGGGGTGGGCAGTACGCACTGCTTCTGGGTATTGGACAGACAGATGGGCTGACTGGGAGGCAAGTCTGTGAAATGGGTTTGCTCCCGTGCCTGAGATTCCAAGTGCCCTCACTCAGGAGCTGTCTCAAATGGCACCACTTATTTCTGGATCTCAGTTGCTGGAGGGCTACACCCATAGGGACAGACCTTGTCCTTGCTTAAAGCCCCTGACTTCATCCATGTCCCACCAAGGACCCTGTAACAGGAGATGCCCATGTGTATGAACAGACTAGGAAGTGGCCACCAAGAGTCCTCAGAGGCCTGTGGACCATGAAGCCAGGCCTGGGAGGGCAGAGGGTATAATGCTGGCTGCAATGGGAGGATTCACTCTTCCTGTTCCTTCCGCCCTGCTACCTTCCAGTGACAAGACAGCCCGGTACCTATACTACTGTCACCTGAAGGAGCAGGTACTGAGGTCCAAGTGCATGCACAGAGAGGAGGCCTACTTTCTGCTGGCTGCCTGTGGGTTACAGGCTGACCTGGGAAACCACCAGGAGTCGGTCCATGTGGGCAAGTACTTTGAGCCACATGCCTACTTCCCACAGTGGGTAAGCCTGTGTGGCACCACCTCGGGGGGCTGTGGGGCGGGGGTGATGTCTGCTCACCAAAAGAAAGCTCTGCAATCCATAAATAATGGGAGGGCGAGGGGCTAGGGAGGGGCAAGGGCGTGGAAACAGAGGGACCCAAGTCCAAGGGTGCTCGCCTACCCAACGATGACACTGCAAAGGCTGGCAACGTGGTGCAGGAGCCATGGCCAGAGCGGGCTATGCCTTCAGTCCTGCATAAGCCAACTCAAAATCTCTGCACTCTCTTGGCCTGCCTGGCTGCAGAGTGCTACCCGCCAAGCCTCTCTGTGCCTCAGTTTCCCCACCTATGTCCTAGGACAGGGAGTAAGCAAGAGGTGCCTCTCCTCTGTATGCGAAATCCTAGTTTGACTGCCACGCTGAGCAAATGGTTCCAGGGACTGCAGGCCTGGGCCACACTCTTCCACATTGGCCCTCTCATACCTCTCTCCTTTTCTATCCTCTGTGCCTCTGGCCTCGAATATCTGCCCTGCAGAACTATCTCCAATGGCAGGCTGGAGGCCGGGCAGCTTTTCTCCATGCTTCCCTCAGCCCACACACACTTCTGTCCCTCATGGGAGCCTTGGCCCTTTGATTTCAGCCACGGTTTCCTCGCTGGGGGGTTTCCCTAAAAGCTGTGTCCTCTGGGATGAAATGAGTTCCACAAACCTCCAAGGAGGGCTGTTTCTGTGGTCCTTGTAGGCAGCTGGGTGACACAAGAGAGGGGATCAGGACCAAAGATTTAGGGACGTTGCCTCCTCATCTTTGGATCTGAGGCTAAGGCAGAAGGCCCAACCAACTGGGCTGAACCTAGGCTCTAGCTAGGAAGTTGGCTCTGACTCCAAAGGTGGCAGAGGGTATCAGCACAGAGAAAGGTCAGGGTGGGGTCTGAGCTGGCAGGTGGCTCTCTGTCCTCAGATTATCAACAGCAGGGGAGCTGACTACATCCTCAGGCATGTGCCTGCCATGCACCGTGAACACCGGGGCTTGAGTCCCCAGGAGGCCATACTACGCTTCATCAGGGATGCCTGCCAACTTGAGGATGTTCCTGTCCACTTCTTCAGGCTGTACAAGGTCGATGCCATGATGTCAGGGGTGGGAGGACTCGAGGGCGGGAGTGGGTGTCTCCCCCATGACAATGTGACTAAGACTCCAGGTAGTGTGGGCGGGACTGTCCTTAGGACCTGGTTGGCACGTGATGAGTTGGAGGGTGACTTGGTAGCTGTCCTGGAGGTGACATGCTGGGTTTCTCTGGTGTCTGAGTTCCTTTAAACTCAGTTTCCTCAGCCTCTGCTATAACTGGTCTGGTCTAACAGTGGCTATTTTGCCTGACCACTCTGGCGGCCCCTCAGGTACTGCCTGATCACAGCATAGTTCCTGTTCTCTGGGGACAGCCTGCCCACAGGGGGCACTAAGGGTGAACTTTTGTCTATGAGGTTCATGAAGTTCAAATATCTATGGGAGCATACCTCGAACGTGCCCTAGGGTGGCTCAGGCTTATGCAGGGCAACAAGAGGAACCTAAATAGAGCTCCTGGTTTGTGGAGCCTCTTGCCTGAGACAGACCTCCTTCCACCTACATCAGGGCCAGAGCCTTAACCTCTGATCCCTGCCCTTTCAGGAAAAGAAGGAAGATGGCCCTACCATGCTCCTGGGACTCACTCTGAAAGGGGTGCACATTTACCGGGTGAGGGCTTCTTCCTGTTCTCGGTTCTCGTTCCCTCCCCCTTCTCCTGCTGCCCAGTCCTGATCATGAACTCTGTCCTCCACATTCCTACTGTCTTTCAGGAGGCAGATGGCGCTCCACAGCTGCTCTTTGACTTCCCCTGGTCACATATTTCGAAGGTGACATTTCTGGTGAGTGTCTGAATCGGGAGGGCATCCACAACACTCGGGAGCCCTAAGAACAGAGAGCCTGCAATTTCATTCTCAGAGCTCCCTGTGGCCTCCCCACACCCCCAGGCATCCCCCAGTCATGTTGGTCCTCACAGCCATTTCTGGTGGCACAGCCGTGGTGGTATTAAGCCTCTGAGAGATGTATAGCTCTGGGCACCACCAATTTCTGAGCTCCCACTTGGCAACAAAGAGAGGGAACATGGTACTTTAGAGACGCACCATACAACTTACTTATTCCCAAGGCTGTCTTTCTGGGCCCACAGCTATGACAGTGACTGGAGAGCAGCCTGGCTCTGGACAGTGACCAGGGTTCACTGCAAATCCTGAATTTAAGACTTGTGTGCAGTCACAGGCAGGGAAGTCCTACACAGGATCCTTCTGCCTTTTCAAGGCTGGGACAAATGTTCCTGAGTCACAATGACCTGAGACCTATTTCCACAGGGACACCAAAATTCTCTACACTGGGAGTATGGGCCAGGGCCTATTTGGGGCTTGTGGCTCACATTAAGGTATTTCTTTTCTGCTGCTGAGACAGTTTTCTGGACTGTAAAATCACATTGACCTTCCTGTCTGACCAGGGGAAGAAGCTGGAAATCCAGCCAGAAGGGCTGCTGGCAACACGGAAGCTGCGGTTCTACACGGGCTATGCCTGGCGCTCCCACTACCTGCTGCAACTGCTTCGCACCACCCACCAGCTGCACCTCAGACTGCGGCCTGTGCTACAGAGGCTACAACAGCTGGGGGAGGCACAAGGTGCGTGTGATACCCACCTGGGTCTGGGCACCTAGCTGATGGCCACACATCACACATCCTCTCTAGGGTCTGAGATATAGAGAACAACCCTTGAGACCCCACCCCCCCACACACACACACACACTCCTGAGGCTGGCCAGCTGTTCTGGGCTTGGCAGCCAGGCTACACCTTCTATTGCTCCCATCATTGCTGGTGGTCCTGTTCCCCCTGGGTGTTTGGATGAAAAGTGAGGATAATTCGTCCCTCACTTCACTCTACACATAATTCTACAGTATCTTATTTCTCACATCCGTTAGCCCTACAAAGAGCCAGAGACAGAACTTAAAGGGAGACTAGTGTTCTCTCTTTTTCCAAGTCTCCATGGATAGGGGACCTGTGTTGCAGCACACTGAAGCCCCACTGCAAAGGCAGGACTCTGTATGTGTGAGTGTGTGTGACTGTGTGAGTGTGTGTTTGTGTGTGCCTGTGTGTGTGTCTGTGTGTATATCTGTGTGTGTCTATGTGTGTGAGTGTGTGTGTGTCTGTGTGTGTGATATGAGTGTGTATGTCTGTGTGTCTGTGTGTGTCTGTGTGTGAGTGTGTATGTGTCTGTGTGTGTGAGTGTGTGTCTATGTGAATATCTGTGTGTGTGAGTGTGTGTCTGTATATGTGAGTGTGTGTCTCTGTGTGTGTCTATGTGTGTGTGTGTGTTCTGTGTGTGTGATATGAGTGTGTATGTCTGTGTGTCTGTGTGTGAGTGTGTATGTGTCTGTGTGGGTGAGTGTGTGTCTGTGTGAATATCTGTGTGTGTGAGTGTGTGTGTGTGATATGAGTGTACCTGAACATTTCTGTGAAACGTGACTGAGTGGACCTCTGTGCCTGTGTCAGGAGGTATGCCGTTGAGGACGCTGGGTGCAGATACCATATCAGTGCATCCTCAGAACCAGCAGGTATGGTCTGTTCTCAACTAGTCCTGTCCTGGGTGACAGGGCATCAGGGACACTGAGGGTGTGGCTAAGAGACAAGGTGTCTGAAGAACCTTCAAGCCTGAAGAACCATCACAAGAGGATGCTAGGAGACTGCTGGTGACAAGTTCCATTCATAGTTGTCTGGCTGTCACCATGGGCATGCGGGGTTCACCCCTCCCCTTGGAGGTCAATGTTTTGCCCACAAACCTAGGCTCTGATGTGTCAGCAGCACTGACCAGCAGTGGCTCCAGGAATGCAGGAGATACTTCATCTTCCTCCAACACCAGCTCTTGTGTTGTTTTCCACTCAGAGAAGAAATGCTACCGGGAATCCTACATCAGTGACCCACTGGAGCAGGACCTGAACCCACACAGCAGGAATTACCTGGGCAATGAGGACAATATGGGCAGCAGACAACAATCCCTCCTCTCACTCTTCCCCAAAAGCCATGGCAAGTCCCACACAGTAGGCATGGAGCTCAACTCCCTGCATGGGGAGTGTGAGATGTCGGTGGATGAGCTCACAGGGACTGAGAGGCTCTGTGGAATGGCACCATCCAGCAGTTCCTGGAGCAGCTTCAGCAGCCAGGACACCTGCACCAACAACAGAGGTGAGCTAACTACAGGACCAAATAGCAAGAGCCTGAGCTGGCCAATGCTAATTTGATTCCTTGGGTGCAGGCTAAAATGGCCACTCAGGGCTGCATAGTATCTCATACTCAGGGTCAGGCAGACCTGTCACTAACACTGTCTGCAGTCATATGCTCAGAGTCTTGCCCAAGCAAAGGCCAACTGGCCTTAGTCTCTGAAGTTGAGTCTAGACTCTATGGGATATAGTCCAGCACATCGGCCCAAGTATGAAATCACATGAACGTGAGCCTCTGGCTGCTCCCTGGCTCCAATGTACATGGACACTGAAAAGGTGCCATTCCCAGATCTGCAGGTGGCTCGTAAGTGACCATGAACAGCAACCCCTTCCCCCTCCTAACCCTGACTGGAACCTCTCTGGGGAGGACATGATGTCACATGTCAGATGGAACTCATTTGGGATTCCGCACTCCAGTGTGTGTGTGTGTGTGTGTGTGTGTGTGTGTGTGTGTGTGTGTGTGAAATCACAGACAGCTTGTGCCTTTCTTGCTGACAGTTTAGATGGGCAGATGGTCTCATCTCAGACATTCCTGTGAGGAGGGACATTTGGTTCCTACTTCAGAGTTATGACAGAAAAGAGCCTGGGGCAGGATAGGCCACAACAGCGAGTATGGCCTGTGCTCTTTTCTTGGCCCTGCTCACTCTTCTCCTCTTCTCTTCCTCTACCTCTTTTCAGCAGCTCCCTGGAGCACTTCACAGGAGTGTGAGTCATGCTGATCAGGACACGGAGCCCCCGAGAACTGAGGCCATGTCCCAGGTAAGGTCTCATCATGGCTCCTGCCCCCTGCCCACCTGGATTTCCAGGGCAGTGTGGAGCCCTGAAGTGTCTGCATACGCAGAGTATCACTCCCCCTTTCATTGATTTCTATCATTCAGCTTCTATCAGTCCCCCCAGGGGCCTAAGACCTTGAGTTCTCACTACCCTAAGGCACCAGAGAGACTAAACCAGAGACCCCTAAAACCTAGGCAGAGGACAATGCTCTTGGACTGGCTCTGGGCTGGCTTGCAGGATCCTGCCAAACATCCCCTGAGGAAAAGAAGAGATCAGAATATGGTTGGCCAGCAAGTGTGACACTGGACTCACAGAGAGTTACGCATAGGTACAAACTGGGAGGAGAAAGCCTGAGGGGGACTGTCTCAGCAGAGTCCAGACCTGGAGTAAAGTCGAAGCACCCTGAGGCTCTCAGCCTGGATTCGAGCCAGCTCGTTTAATAGAGGAGCTTGCAACCTCCCAAAGGGCTCTGGCTCTCAGCTAGAGGCTCTACTCTGAAGGACTGACTCTGAAAGCACTTCCAAGAGTCTCACAGACAACAGACCCTGTGCAAAGCTCTCCTCCTTCCACCATGTGTCGGGGCCCTCCAGGCAGATCCAACGGCCTGTCATGGCTGAAAAGCATGACCTGGAGCATCTCTGCAGTACGGAGGCTGCTCTCGGCTGATGGAACCCACACAGTCTGAGGACAGGTGTGCTTAAGTGAAAGATGGCTGTCCTTGGAATCTCGGATGTTTCCAGAGTCGGTGTGTGGTGACCATATCCAGAGCCATTCCTGAAAGACACAGAGTACTGAGGCTTCACGTTCAGAAAGGCAACCATGGGGAAGAAGGCCGGATTGGACGGCACCTCTGGAGCCAGTGTGGACCCCAAGGGTCTTACCTACACTATGGCATGGAGCCTCCAAAGAACTCCTGGAACACACCAGAGCAACATAAGAGCCAGCCCATAGCCCAGCCTGAGCACCATTAAAGTGTCCAGTATTGTCAGGGAGTCGAAGGTGAAGTGGGGTATGGAGCTGTTGCCTGCTAGGTGGTCAGAGGAAACAGGACGAGGCAGCAGAGCACACCAACAGGATGGCCCATCAGGTCCAGACTTAGAACGATCTGGGTAGAGCTGTGGTCCTGGAACTGTAGCAGCACACATAAAAAAACAAAAAACAAAAACATAAACAAAACAAAAAACCACCAGTAGGTAGGATGAGAACTACCAAACTACCACACTGCTAAATCTCTCTGTAGGTTGGGGAGGCACAGGCTGACCACAGGGGTGACCAGTATCTCCACAGCATGGACAACATGCGCCTGCCTGCACCAGTCTTCCCAACACTTTCTGTCTACCTCACCCAGCTACCTGGGGCTGCATGCTTCTGGAGCTGCTGGTGGCCCCTAGAGGCCAGGGCTCCTCTCAACGGCAAGACATTCATAAACTACCTCTCCCAGTACCGGCCTGGTGAAAGGTCACCCATGCAGGAATTTGTGGTGTAGGCAAGTGCCGCACAGCAGCACTGTCTGGTGCCAGCCAGCCTTGAAGGTGGCTTGGTGGCATCCAGCACCACCAGCCTTGGGCCAGGTCTAGGCAAGGCAGTCCCTGGCCCTCAACCCTCTCTGATCTCTGTCCACCCTTCAATCACCTCTTCTTTGCCTTCTCACCTGTAGGAGGGGTGGAGCCAGCTCCGACCTTAGCCAAGAGGTGGGGCGGACCCTGCTCTTCCTGTCTTGGGCTGTAAGCACCTAGGTCTCTCATGGCATAAATGTCTGAGGGACCCAGGAGTCAGTCAACATTAGCCCTGAAGTGGAGGGCTCTTGTCTTATCTGTGAGAGAAGGTGTCATAGGGGGACCTAGGCAGTAGAGGGAGCCCCAAGCCTGCAAAGCCAGAGCTGGCCATGCCAGGGTCTCCACTCTGGCAATCTGTAGTTCCTTGTCCCATGTCTTGCTTTTAAGTGTTGCACCAAACTCAGAGGCCTTTCTTGCACTGTGTGGCTCAGTCCCACCCAGAGACCCCTGGGTCTCTATTGGATGCAATGGATTCTTTTCCTTTAGAAGAACTCCCTTACTGCCCCCCTCAGACTGTGGGGACTTCCTCCACCTGGCCATGACAGTGTCGCCAGGGCAGTGGGGTAGGGCAGTTTGAGGGTCTCCTCCATATCTTCACCATAGCCAAAGAGGTGTAGGGGCCATTGGACAGGTGTAATTCATGGGCTCTGAGAAGACCCTGGGGTACCGTGGGTTCTCTACCTGTGGAGCCCTCAGGACTTTCCTGCCCAGGGTCTAAAGAAGCATTTGATGTCCCTTTATTTGGACAAGAGGGGACTTGTATGTCACTGCTGGTCACAAGTTCTTGGTAGTTGTGCCCAACACTTGACCTATTGGTGTGAGAGCCACATCTGGGCACCCTTCTAATTACCATGCTTGTCAGAGTGGAGCACAAGTCTGGCTGGCTGGGTAGGGCAGCCCTTCTTCATCTAGGCCACAACTCCCTGTGCATCCTGAGCCCAGGCAGAGAGTATGGAGTAGTGCCAACCAGGGAGGTTGGTGGCTGAGGTACGACTCACACAGGGGAGCTGGTTGGACAGAGGGTCCCATTCCCTGGACATTGTGATATAGAGCAGATTGGGAATTGTGGGTAAGAGAGGACACCCAGGGCTGGCTTAGGCTCTCCCAACACCAGTGTACCCTATTGGTACTAAGTGGGGCTAACTACCCCTGACTGAGAGGCATCCATCTTCCATTAAAGAATCTTTGAGAACAAGGAACCCTAGTGTCAGTGGAGGTCTGTGCCAGCTGTGGGTGCCAGGCGTGGGGCAGGGCTTGTTTCAGGACATGCCCCCCACAGGCACACACACACACACACACACACACACACACACACACAAACCCACCACATCCAGGAACAGGAATGCAGACAGACAGTGGTTACGATGATACAAAGCTGTCTCAGGGAGTCAGGAATGTGTCCAGCCTGCCTTGCCTTAGCTTCCCCTTACCATATATGCCCCCACAGAGTGTGAGCCAGAGGTAGTCCCTCCCCTCTCTGGTGTCCCTATCCCTCAAACTCAGGTGAGGTCACTCTGATTGATCCTCCATGGCTTTGCCTGGTCTCAAGCAGGTCATCTGGCCCTGGGGTTCCTAAGTGCCCCCAAGAAAGAAAATAGCCTGTCTTTCATTTTCACTCTGCTGCTTACAGAGCTGGCTCCCGGCCGGAGTCTAATGTGGAAAAGAACTTGGAAGGGACTAGGTCTCTGGCTTTGTCAGTGTTTTCTTCACCACAAGGCACCTGCAGAACTAGACAGAGCTGGGTATGTGTTGGGTAGCATGACTAAGTACAGAGAGCAGCACCGTCTTGGTATGTCCTCCTCTGAGCCTGGATATGTGTGTCTGCCCTTCTCATCAGAGCACAGCCTGCTGTTACAGCTGTTTTTCATTATGTTTGGGAATAGATCAGCAAGAGCCCAGCTTGGTCTTCCAGTCCTTGGGGAGCAAGCCTCGTGCTCAGTTGTCCTCTGTGAGTTCCCTTGGCCCAGGGTTGTAATTTTCAATACCCCCAAGAGCAGCAGAGGCCAGTTCAGTCCACCCTTAGTGTGTGTGCACAGCAGCTAGGGCTTCATGGATGTCAGGACCTGTGCCCTGTGTCTTCCCAGGCAAGAAGACAAGGCCATGGGCTGACCCTGAGAAGCCACATGGGTCCCACAAGGATTCCTATTTCTGTCCTTCCTCTGGGCCTGTGGACAGGCATGGGAACTCTGCCAAGTGCCTCTGGCCACCAATTACACAGAGCTGCAGACTGCGGTCGTGATCCTCGGGGAATGGAGAGGATGATTAAAGGCCTGGCTCTCTCTGTGCCTCTAACCAAGAGGGTTCACTGGGGCAGGCAAGGAAAGGTGGGGGCATAAGAGGGGGCCAAGGCAAGGTCCCCTGGGCTCCTTCCTGTGTTCATCCATGGGGCTGGAAAAAGAAAGCCACCATTCTCAGTCCCTCTGGTTCCTAAGCAGGGGCTGGAATTCTTACCAGAGTGGCTTCCCATAGTGTCCAGTCCTATGGCAGGGCCAGGCTCAAGGTAGAGTTCAGTGTCCAGATTCAAGAGACGCTCCCAGGAGCGTGCTTAGCCAGCAACAGCCGCCCACCAAGAGAATGTCTGCAGTGCCCACAGGGACTAGAGTCTGAGAGCCCGCTGTTAGGCTCTGGTGCCCAATGGGAAAAGGAGATGAGGACATCTGGGTGGGGTATTCAGATAACGGTGGCTGCTTGTGTGACGTGGACCACAGAGCAGACCTCTCAGAAGCTCTGGCTCCACTCCTCAGCAGGTGGACGCCAGACCACTGTTCCACATTACACTTCCGATGGAAGAGCCTTCACTTGATGAAAGTCTCTGACCTGGGGTCTCATAGAGCTAGTTGCTCAAAAGCCAAGTGATACAGACAGGCAGGGCCACTGTCCCAGCACCAAAAGAGACTAAGCTTTGGGGCTCCCATGGAACACTGACATGGTTGCAGTTTTGAAAATGGGAAGAGGATGACATTTTAGCCATATGTGGCTGGGATCTTGTGCCTTTCAATTGATGTCATCACGCTTTTGGCAATTAGTGGTGCTAGCGGACCATGCAGATGGGTTGCACCTCAGGGCCTCTGAGGGAGATGCATTAACTCAGAGCCATGAGAGACAGCCACTGGCTGGGTGTGTTACAGTTCACTGTAGGGCAGCAGGCTTCCTGGAAGTTGGCAGCCCTTGGCTCATTCCATTCTGGATTGGATAACAGAGTGAAGACATCTTGTCATGATCCCCCCTCCTCCATCAGCCAGAGCACACAGTACTGGGGTCACACAGATAGGATACAGACACAGCAGAACTGTCCTCCTGATCATACAGCTGCAGTTTCGGGATCTTAAAGGCCCTCTGTGTCCCCAGTAACAAGCTGGGGAGGAAAGGCACCTTGGAAACATCCCAGAAACAAGCTACATCTGCCACACCAGGAGGAAGCTGGCTATTCCAGACACATGAGGGGGTGATGGGCTAGGGCTCAGCTGGCAACAAGGAGAGGGAATATAGGATAGGCCTTGCTTAGTAGCCACTGGCAACCATGGGGAGTCACTCAGTGGCAGCACCTCTCAGCCCTGGAAGAAGATCCTGCATTTGATCCCCAGCATTGCAAACAAGAGGCACTGGCATCCTGAATCTGTGCTTATCTGCCTGCTTTTTAGGGGTCTGGGTTTGGTGGATTTTTAATCTTTTCTTCATTTCTCTCCAGAGTTACGCCAGCATTTGTCATGTTAATTCTTCTTTTCATAAAGAACATGGTCCTGGGACTATCTGTGAAGGTTTCAGGCCTCACAGTCAGGTTGAAGATGGGACACTAATCTTGGGGCTTCAAGTGCCATGTGGAAACAACTGCAAGTCCCCTGCACCTTGATGTCTGCTCAAAGCCCAAACCAGCAGCTGGAGGCTTCTGGTTGCCAGGAGTGGGACTGTGGGATAGTGGCTCTTCCCGGCTCCTCAACTGCTCACCCTGCTTGTGGTCCCTCTGATGCTGTTAGCCTTGACTTCAAGTAGCTCATACTCTTGGTGTCTACACTGAGTGAGCCTCCAGAATCTCCTGCTACGCTGGGCATAGCTACACCCCACTGATCCCCTTGATTTGTCGCTAACAGGCTCATGGGGTAGGGCAGGCCAGTGGTTCAGGCCTCGAAGCAGAGACTAGACAAAGTGTTCTGGGCTGGCTAATAGCATCTTCACCCAGGGCATTCTGAGTTTCTAACAGACTTGATATGTTGGGTTGGTGCCCTGCCTGGCCACACAGGTGTTTAGAGTCCACAGGGCCAGTTGCTCCTGTCACCTGGCCTCAGGACACAGGGACACGTACCGCTCTGTACTCAGAACACAGCATAAATGCTTCTTGCCTCCCTGGTAATGTGGGGGGACACACCTGTGCAGGGAGGATGTTGAAAGCAGAACTGGGAGAGACAGTCACACTTGAACTATGAACGCACATGACTTCGGTGCCTATGACCCTGGCACTGTGCTAATTCTTGTAGGCCTCACATGGCCTGTGTTGACCCTCTGGGCTTCCACCTCCATTACACAGCTGGGAGACTGGGAAGGGGGCTTTAAATTGTCTGGGACACAGAGCTAGGGCCAGGCAGAGAGGGGGGGCAGGCAGGGCTGGAGGCAGGCAGAGAGGGGACCAGGCAGGGCTGGGTGTAGGCAGAGCTCATACAAGGCTCTGGAAACTTGCTGTGCAGATCCTGGGCCTCACTATGTACCCTGAGCTGACAGCCTCAGTCTGCCTTACAGCCTCCCTCACTTTGTGGCAGACAGTCCACCTCCTTTTCCAAACATGGGCCCAGCCATGCTTCTATCCAGGAGAAGTCTCCTGTCCAGCCAGCTTCCTCCCTTACCACTCTGGGTTTAGTAGATGAAGGGCAAGGCTAAGACCAGGCCCAGGGAGCAAACAGCCTCCTCGAGGTCAAGAGAACATTGTTTATTTCTGAAGCACACACATCCTAAAGCATTGACAAGAAGCACAACTCAAGGAAGAGCCTATGACCCTGCCAGGCCCATCCCTGGCTTCTGCATCCGGGGGCTGGGAGGTCTCCTTCTGGGTGCTCTTCGCTCAACCTGCCGAGCTCGGGCCCCAAATGTTAGACCACGTAGAGTCTCTGCCATGTGCTTCTGCCCAGGAGACACACACAGAATCATCAGTAACTTTGCATTGCCACCTTAAAGAAAAAAAAATTAAAGATGCCAGGTGTAATGCATGAAAATGGTGTTTCTAAGTGCTGAACCACTATTTGAACAGAGAAAGTCTGCCCACACTCCAAGCAGGGACCATGGGCATAGAGAAAGTCTGTCCACACTCCAAGCAGGGACCACGGGCATGCAGAGTGTCTGCCTACACTTTGAGCAGAGATCACATCTTATCAAACAAGTAGTAAAAGCCAGCACAGGCCCTGGGGCTAGAAGCCACTGAAGGCCACTCATCCCTAAGTGGGATCCTATCTCCACAGCTTAGAGACCCAGCCACGGACTGTGCCTGCCACAATGAAGAGAGTGACGATGACAGTCCCCCTGAAGAACTCTATAGCCTGGCTGGAAAGGCAAGAGAAAGGCCTGCTATCCAGGCCAACCTGCAGCATAACTAATGCACAGTGTAAGCTGTAGTGACCAAAAGTCCTGAAGACACTGTGGACAGAATGTGGCAGGGGCCTGGCAGAGCCGTAACTTCGCCAAAGATTGTGTAGCTTGGGCAAAGGGGCAGGCAGAGCTAGGATTGCTCCCTAAGGCTTGGCTCTCTGTTGCCCTCTGTTTGGGGACCTTTTAGGAAGACAAACCAATGGAATCTTGGAGCAGGTGCGTGAGCTTGCTGTTCCGATATGGGATATGGTCACAGTGCTCTGACAAGGCTCCAAGAACATCTGCGAGGGCCGCCAGACTCCGGTTGATGAAAGAGGTCTCCTTCAGTGCCAAACCGGTCACCCCAGACACTGCTGAAAAGTGTGGAGACCAGCCACCCATGAGCACATACTCGGGGACAGGAACAAGGCAAGCAGAGGTGGTTCTTGGGAGGGACCATGTAACTTGCCCAGTTTCTGGGGGAGGTACCATGGCCTGTCGTCAGTCATTAAGATGAGTTCCCCATTTAACTGCTAATCGAAGTTCCTATAGTCATGGATCCCGTCTGAAGAGCTTAGCTTCCCGACTACCAGAAAGTAGCAGGGGTCTAACACGGCCTTCCATGCCAGCTCACAGTCTACTCCACTGTGTTGCCCTTTGCCGATGCTGGCACGCACCCCAGGGCTGATCTTTCTGGTTCCTGCTCACCTGAGCACTCACTGCCGGCCAGGTCCACAAGCTGCAGCCTGGCCAGCACCTGCCCAGGATGATCTGCAGAGTCCGCTGGAATGGTGTGTGGAGATGAAGCCGGGGGAGGGGTAATCCACCAATTACTGGCCCCTGCTATCTTCTGGAGGGAAGCTTGGCTGGACTGTGTGGCTGGGACGAGGGGAATGACAAACAGAAAAGTCACAAGGGTCTACTCAGCCTTACATCAGTATGAGAGCTGAAAATTCACCCTTCAGACCCTATTTCTCACCCCTTGTAAACACGGATGGTTAAGAAGTAGATAGAGCAACAATCCTTGCCCCTCTGGGAAACAGAGCATGTTACACTAAGGATGGTTGAGCCAACGCCTGATCTGTTCCCCCCAAAACTGAATAATGTGGTTGGAAAGTGGTGGTGGTGGTGTGTGGGGAACCAAAATAGTTCCATTATGGAATGTCTTGAGGTCCAGCCTCCAGTTTCATTAAACAGGAGCACCAGGGAACTCCGGCCCATTGCTGTATTGCTAATGTTAGCAGGTCTGTTGTTTACCATAGCCTCAGTATAGAATGCCTCCTAGTTTGTACAGGACTAAGCATTTGAATAGGCCTGCACCTGGGCAGGAGGTTAGGTGTATGAGTAACAAGTGAGAAGGGGAGTGAGGAACCATCTAGCAAAGAGGAGTCAACAGAAGGACAGAAATGGCTTCCTCGTAGCCATAGAAGCATGGTGAAGAAACAGCCAAGAAGATGCTAAATAAACAAGAGACTCTAGTTTTACAGCATGGAACTGAGAGCTCTCTAAAGATAACAAGATGCCTGTGTTTGGTCTTTATCACCACTGGGTTGCTAGGAGTTTCCAAGCCCATTCTCCCCCACTTATGGGCTGCGGTGGCTTAGGGCTGAGATGACCGAATGGGCGACGGACAGTGGTGGTGTGAACTAAAACCTCAGACAGAATAGGTATCTGCATGGGGGTATGTTATGTGCCAGACAGCCTTGAACTCTAGACAACCAATGCTCATTGTAATGCTCACTTGGGTCCTGAGAGATACCTAGAGAGACACCATCCAGGGTGGTTTTCTAGAAATGACTGCTATTATCTTCAGCTGACCTGGCACAAGTGTCAACTTACCAGTGTTGCCCAAGGGCGAAGCTGTGGTCAGTGTCGCCGTGACGATCAAGTGAGATCGGGAAGAATTCTTGTGCACCAGGGTGGGGTGCTGCACTCTCAGCCTCACACCCTTGTGAATGAGCCCCACAAATTCCTCAGCACTGGTGACAGGCCTGGCAGAGGACAACACAGGTCAGAGGACACCCCCGGGGTCGATGCGGAGAGGGTGCTCAGGTTAACCTAAACTTACTCGGCTGACAGGCAACTCCCATGCTAACTAAGTGTGCCAAGCTCAACAAAGTAGACTGGCAGGTCTGGAGAAATAGGCCTGTAATCACATATACTCAGGATGTACAGGAAGGGGATCACAGTTCAAGGCTAGCCTGGTCTACAGAGTGAGCTTAAGGCTAGCCTGCTCTACAGAGTGAATTCAAGGCCAGCTCAGACAATTTAGTGATACCCTTTTTCTAAAAACCACAGAAGACTGAGGATGTTAGCTCAATGGTAGGGCACCTGTGTGAAAATCAAACTGCTGAGCTTTGAGGCCTGTCCCTGCTCACCCTAAAACACTCGGGAGTGTTCCAACAAGTCAGAGGTCCCTGACCTAGTGCCTACTGTCTTAATTTGCTACATCCTTAAGGCTCCAAGTTTTTAAAGTATTTTGTGCAGTAAATCAAACTTATGAAACCACACTTCGGCCACACTCTTACCTTTTCAGTGTGGCAGGTAGCAGATAAAGCCTTGCATTGGCCAAGCTGTATGTCGACCAGGGACCATTGGTTAAAAAAAAAAAAAAAAAAAAAAAAAAAAAAAAAAAAAAAGTTTCCCTCTCACACACCAGGCTACTACTTTCTATAAACACATCAAAGCTAACTATGTGCCTTCCTGTAGGCTTTTCCAGCATTGGATATAGATTGGAAAACTTCCCTGCTATGAGTGCTAAAGTGGGCAACCTGACCTTGCTCCTCACAGCGGAGCAAATATTCCTAGTTGGCTCTATGATGGTGATGCAGGTGCATCTTGCATCCCATGGTGAGCAAGCGTGGCACAGCTGCGCGATCCTTGACAAGAGCGTAATGCTGAGAAAGTTTAGCAAATAAGATGGTTCTCATTTTCCAAAATGACTATGGCATCCTGTAAAATACTGATATTTCCAGGTGTAAATAATTATACTTGTCCTTGATTGAGTGGTATATGTGTGTTGCATGTGTGTATGTGTTGTAGATATGTGTGTTGCATGTATGTGCGATGTGTGTGCCTGTATGTGTGTGTGTGTGTTGTGTGTATGTTTGTGTATGTGTGTATGTATGTATGTGTGTTTATGTATGTGTGTCATGTGTGTATGTGTATTTGTGTTGTGTGTGTATGTGTGTGTTGTATTTGTGTGTATGTGTGATGTGTGTGTTGTGTTGTGTGTATGTTTGTGTATATGTGTATGTATGTGCATGTGTGTTTGTGTATGTGTGTTGTGTGTGTGTTGTATGTGTATGTGCTTTGTGTGTTGTGTGTGTGTATTGTGTGTGATTAGATATCGAACTCAGGGTCAGTATATGCGACCATTGAGCTCCCCCATCTCTTTTTATCTTTATCTTTAAAAGAGCTTTATTAAGGTATCTTTAACATATAAAGCCCATATATGTTGGATGCATGCATCTTGGTGCTCTGATGGTACGTTGTGAAACACTCACAGCATTCCAGTTTGTAAGATCTCTGCTGAGCTAGCTTTGCTAAGTCTGTGTGGCACACACGAAGCACACTCCATGAACCGCTTCACAGGTTGATAGTACTGGCTCCATTCCACACACAGCTGGGAGGGAACTGCTGTAAGGTTAGGCACCTCCCTTACAGGGGGTACTGGGCCCCATGAGCAACTCACCTGCAAGTCAGCCTGGGTACCTCTGAACGTCCCTCTTGCATTGTCGCCATCTGGCACTTAGCCCCCAACATCACTGTAGAATTATCTTTGGCCAGGAGGTCAAAAATGTTGTTGTTATAAATTTCTACTATGGAAACATCAACTTTTGGACTTCTTGAAGGGTTTTCTGAAATGAGCCTGGGAGAAACACAAGAATTAAGGCATCGAGGAAATCCAGTTTGGCCCCTCACAGAAAGCATTATAAGAATGGCAGATGGTTGCAGCCCCAGGAAACTTAAGGCACCTGACCTATAAGAAATGGGGTGATCCATTTGTAGGTCACTGGGGAGAGGAAACATGGAACCCTGTGGGTGAAAGCTATCTTGAGAACAAAGCTACCTCGTAGGAGCTGTCTGTCACTCGCTACCATGGCAACAGGTGCCTTTGGTATTCAATGCCCACTATGCAGAGAGTTGTGAAGAGCAAGGCTTGGACCCAGAAGCCTATGTCTGTCTGTTGTCACGCATAGGTGCTCCAGAAGCTGCAGGCTGTAGCTTCTGAGCAGCTTTCCCACTCAAAGCTAGTTTATTTGAAGGCCTATTTGGTGAGAAGAAGACTGGACCACAGCTCTCTCTTTATATCCATGCCATCCACTTGGGCCTTCCAGAGGCTGCCTATGAGAATTACAGAGCAGCCCTGCTCTGGCCTAGGCTCCCTGCTTCCTGGTTGGTGCCAATGTGAAGAAGTCACGTTACTTTATCCCGGCCACCAAGCTTTCCCCGCCCTCATGGACTAAATGCTCTGGACCATGACCTCAAATAATTTCTCCTTCCTTTAAGTTGTCCCCAGTAATCTGTCACAGTGCTAAGACAGTAACTAACATACACCCACCAGGAATGAGGAAACTCAAACACTGGCCAGGATTGTGATCCAATTTCTAGATAGTCCCCTGAGTTTTCCAACAGCCAGCAGGTTCTTCCCGGGCTCCTGGGGTCCAAAGCCTTGGGATGCTTCTGGGCTTCTTTGCTGTCCTGATCAGAAACTACAGTCTGTGAGTACAAGTGTGATCTGTTGTGGGTAAATGCCTCTTTAGATTCAACATGAATGCACCTTAACAAGCAAGGGGAGGCTGAGCGACTGACTCCTGTAAGCAAACGTATGGCTCATGTGATAAAGTAAAGCTCACAATGTTTTGAAGACAGGTTTCTCTATCTATGAAAATTTAGTTTCAGAACATTATTGCCAGATGAGAGGCAAGCCAACAGGGACAGAGCTAACTCACAGCTGGCTGTGCAGACAGGGGAGCCTCCAGGAGCAGAGAGCATCAGCAGATCCCAGGTCAAAAATGGTAGAGGCCTGGTTCCCTCAACCCTCGGTCACTAAGGTCAATCATCTGAATCAGCTTGAGACAGTCAAGCTGCTGCTGTGCAGTCTCGAGCTGGCCCCGCAGGGAAGAGAAAGGAGGAGGCACGATTTCTCCAGCAGATGGCGCACACGAAGCAATCCACACGCACTGTTTCCACACAGAGGGAAGTGTCTGGCTGTGACAACCCCTGGAAACCGTGCCCTCAAACTCTGGTATGGCCCAACAAGTTAAAGACATGGCACCCTGTGGATGTGGGTGTGTGTTCTGAGGGGCCACCCTCACCCTCAGAGCTACATGTCTCTGAGATTTGCAGGGGGCCTGCCCCTGCAAGCACAGTGACCCAGGTTGGCTCGTCTCCTGGAAATAACAGCCGTGAACAGTGGAAGTTTAGCAAGGATTGTGCAATGTTTTTCTTTCCAGAAGCAGTTAGTACACGCAAATTGATAAACACATATGTTCGTATGCACAAATATTTAATGAATGCTGGTTTGAAGAGGTGGAGGTGGGAGTTCTTATGTCATTGTCTGGCTCTGGTGTTTAGGATATGAAAGGGCAACACACCAAGAGGAATTCCCAGGAACAAAGCCACTCCCAGGGGTCAGAGGCTGAAGGAACTGGCCTTGCTGTTGACATAGAGGTGGGCAGTCAGGAAAATGGCCTCCCAGAGGGGCTCTAGTGACAGCTGCAGGGACAGTCAATAGACCACAGTATCCAGACTGTCCCACTAAGTCTTCTGAAAACCACCTTTGCAGACTTCCTCCTAGGGTGACTTTTGTCATCCTAGCAGCAGCAGCAGGCGTCCTCTGGGGATGTGCTCATGAGACAGTGGCAGTCTGATGAGCCAAATATACAGAAACATCTACCACAGCTGAAGCATAGGCCCCTCCCTCCCCAAATGCAACCCTTTCTTCCACTCTACTGTGAACTGTCTTACTTAGAGCTCTCTCCGGAACTTCTGCCCTAACAACAGACTTTCCCATGTAAACCTGTGGTGAGAATGCATAGCCTGTGCTTCAAGAACACCCAAGAGCTAGGGGCTGCTGTTAGGGTTGGTTGAAGGGCCTCTGGCAAGAGCAGCAGCTCTGTCGTCTTCCAGCCCAGGCTTGTGCTCTCATGGCTCAGTACCCACCAGCCTGCTCTGGGTCCTCACCACAGGGTATACCTGAAGAGTTCCTCAGTGGCTCTGGGGATGATCCCCAAGTCTTCATGAACACCTGACAACAGTGCAGCAGCGTCATCTTCAGAGTGGGGCCCCAACATGGTGTAGCTTTTCCCGCTCCCGGTCTGGCCATAAGCCATAATGCAAACATTGTACCTGGAATTCAAAACCTATTTAGTACAGCAAACCATAAACGGAGTCTGCCATCTTCCTGAAACCTTCCAGTGCACTTGTCCCCACTATGGTGTCTTTGACTGCAACCAACAGTCAGGCTCCCATGTAGAGTTGAAGGAAGCACGGCACTTGAAGAGATGCCATGGGCTGGGCTGAAGATGGAAAAGCAAGTCTGGTAGGTGGTCTAGCCGCGATGCCCACTCCACTTAAAAGATGATTCCCTATCATTTCTGGTGACGGGCCTATTTTAGACAGAGGTAAAAACAGAGCTGAAGCAGGAAACGCATCCCAGATGAAGGGAGGATCAGCCCGTGGACAAGGGGCAGTGGAGAAGATGTGGGCATCCCCAAGTGGACCTTCCTCTTCAGATTGCCAGGCCTCTGGCCACACAGCACAGAGGCTAAAAGCAATGGTGTGATGACAGCAGCTCCTACTTTGCTAGGAAAGTCTTCTAGGGAAGTTTTAGGGAGACTTCCCTACAAAACTAAGTTTCTCAAAATGCTCTTAGGTTCCAAGTCCTGGCTTAGGGTATTGCAGTGAAGCCTCTGCCCCACAGCTCTGACGCCAGCCTGTAACTAGTGACCATGCTTTCCAAGATTAGAAGTATGGTTCTCAAAGAAAACAGCTCCCCAGTCTGGCACTGTTGTTCTCTGTTGTTCTCAAAGCCCTTAACAATTTAAAAAGAATCTGGGTGGAATGTTCTGCAGATGCCTTTTAGATCTGTAATGTCCGTTTAACCCTAGTATTTCCTTTTTGGTCTGGGTGACTTGTCCACTGATAAAAGTGAACTCCTGAAGTCACCTACTATTTCTGTGTTGTGGTTAATCTGAGGGTCTATGCTTAAAAAGTGTTTGTTTGAAGTATTTGTATAAAGTTGGGTGCCCCCAAGTTTGATGAGTATGTTTAGTACTGTAATGTCCTCTTGGTGGATATTGCGTAGTGACCTTTATCTCTTGCAATTAGTTTTGGCTTCTAATTTGTCAGTATCAGGATAGCAACAATTAGCCAGACAGTGGCGGTGCACACCTTTAATCCCAGCACAGAAGAGGCAGAGACAGGCAGATCTCTGAGTTTGAGGCCACCCTGGTCTGTAGAGGGAGTTTCCAGGACAGCCAGGGGATACACAGAGAAACCCTTCTTTGAGAAACCAAAGGGAAAAAAAGAATAGCGACACTTGCTTCCTGGCTCTGTTTAGAATACTCTTTCCCATTCTTTTAGTCTAGGGTGCTGTCTATCCTTGAAGGCAAAGGCTATTTCTTGTAGGCAACAACAACCATAAAACGGCTCCTGTTTTCTCATGCAGCAAGCTAACTTGCATTTTTTTGGATGAAGAATTGAAGTTATTAATATTCAAGGCCATTATTTAAAAGATGTATATTAATTACTGCCCTTTATTGTGTGCTGTTTGCTTTCTTAGGCCTACTTTGCCTAACAACTATGCAAGCAGTACTACTTGTTTTTAACTTGTAGCTTCGTGGGTGTGCTTGTCCTTCTTTTTAGCACTAAACATCCCTTCCAGGAGTCTCTGTAGGATTGGCTTGGAGGTCATAAATTCCTTTAACCTGTTTTTGTTGGGGAGTGTTTTTCTTTCTCCTTTGATTATGACAGACAGTTTTGCAGGGCTTAGGCAAAGTCTGGGTTGGCATCTGCCTTCTCTCAGGAACTTGAAATACGCTGTTCCAAAGCCTCGGGGATTTTAAAGTTTCCATTGAGAAATCAGCTGCAACATGCAGCCTTAAACGGGACAGGTATATCACTTGCTCCAAGGCGCTGAGGACATCCTGAGAGAGAAGACAGAAAGAGCGGAAGAGCTCGAGGGTGGGGGCAGTTACCTACACCAGGCCTACACAAGAGTCTGATAAACTGTTAACTAGGGGGAGGAGGCTGAATCCTTGCCTTCAGCTGTGGGCCCAATGCTGAGCACACCAGCTCCAATGGCTAATTCCAAACCTACTGTCACACAGGTGGTCCTAGTTAAACTCAGTGGGTCACAGACAAAACAACAAAAACATGAGACAGAAACTTGGGGAAGTGGGGGCTAACAGAGAAGATAAGGGACAGTGCCGGGCAAGATTAACAGCTCTGTGTGTGTGTGTGTGTGTGTGTGTGTGTGTGTGTGTGTGTGTGTGTGTAATTGTCAAGTTGAATTAGTAAGAACAAGATAAGACAAATCTGGACAGCTCTAAAGACTCATGAGGTGAAGAGAGCAGCTCCTCCAGGCCAAAGGTGAACATGGTGGGATGCAGCACAGCTCGGAGCCCAGCGACTCATAGGATGCTGATCCTCATATCACTCTGCTCCAGAAGAGAGAGAGAGTCTCCACTGACAGAGGCTGAGCTGTGCTGGAGCAATACCAGCTCTCCTGTCTCTCCCTTAGCCCCTCATATTTAAATGTAACTATGGCACTGGCCTCGGAAATATCTGAACTCACCCATCCAAAAGGGATATGAGGAGGGGTCGAATATCTTCAAATACCACTGCCTGAGATGCTGCTGGGCCATACACTCTGGGAATAAAGAGGGTATCACATTAGTCTGAGAGGCAGAGAACTACTGTTGTTAAAACACAGAAACCTGGGAGCATCATGTCCTACAACTTCCCATGAGGAAGGCTGGCAGACAAAAGTCATATGACAGCCGACTACCTACTGCTTTCCATGCTGTCAGGGGCTGTGGGGCAGCAAAGGCAAGCTGTCTGTTCATGTGTGTAAGGAGAGCAGGGGCGTGGGAGGAGGGTAGACCCTTGGAAACAGATGGGTCTTTGGTGGCTCGGACTCTTCTATCCTGTGTCTTTGTCTTGTGACTGGGAGGGCTGGGAGGACTTCTAGGTCATCCATGGCAACTCCGGGGGTCCTGTTCCCTCTAGAGCAGTGGTTCTCAACCTGTGAGTCTCTATCCCTAGGATTTAAACCCCCCCCCTTTTTTTTTTAAATATTTATTATGTATATAGTGTTCAGCCTGCACGTATCCCTGCATAACAGAAGAGGGCGCCAGATCTCATTCTAGATGGCTGTGAGCCACCATGTGGTTGCTGGGAATTGAACTCAGGACCTCTGGAAGAGCAGTCAGTGCTCTTAACCTCTGAGCCATCTCCCCAGCCCCTTTAAACCCCCTTTTTACAGGGGTCGCCTAAGATCATCAGAAAACACGGGTGTTTGCATTATGTTTCATAACAGCAGCAAGATTACAGTTATGGAATAGCATGAGGAGGTCATCACTGCATGAGGAACTGCACTAAAGGGTCGCAGCATTAGGAAGGTTGAGAACCACTGCTCTAAAGGCTTCCTAACTGGTGGCTTCATCCCCTTACTCACTTGCTGGCTAGTCCTAGGTGGCAGGCTGGGAGAACCTGCATATCTCCAGTTATGGCCCCACAAAACCTCATCTATGGGGTAGAAGAAATCCTCAGTGGGGCAGTAAGCAGAGGCTAGACACTTGGGTCCCATCTGCCAGCCTTTCTTGCCTGGGGGATGCCATCACACTGAGCAGAGGAAGCCTCTGACACAAAGCCCCATGCTTAGTCACTGTCATCCTGACAAAATGCTGCCAAAGATTGCATGATGAGGGTGAGATTTTGACCTGGGACACTACCATGTGACTTGTTTGTGAACACAGACATGGGAACCAGTAGGTTCAGAGCTAGTGCATCTGGACACTGAACCCAACTATATACACCCCCACAAGAGGATCTCACCTTTCAAAATTGTATGTCTTGTCAGTGGGAGGACGGCCAGGAAGAGCACACCTCACCAGGACTGTTTCCTAATAGAAGACAAAGCAGGAGGGTGGGCAGATTCAGGCAGGCCTCCATTAATCAAACAGGGTCAAGGCTAGAAAGTGGCGCCCCAGGCAACTCCAGCTGTGGCTTGTCTTTGTCAGCAGCCTTCCCTGGAACACACGGATAGCTCTGATGACAGACTGGGCTTGGCTGCTCAGGCACAATACTGTGTCATAAAGACAGCTGCCACATGGCCCTCAGGAAGGGCCATTTGATACTTGGCCCTTTGGGGAGCCAAAGCTGTATCTGTGGGGTCCGAGGAGCCCGTCCTGCTGAGGGTATAGACTTTTCAGGTGAGGCCCAGGTCCCATGAGGCCAAGCAGTCACATTACATGACCACACAAGGGAGAGGAGAACTGTCTAGTCTTAAGCCACGCCAACTTTAGCTCTTTCTGAAGGGAGGGGGGGTTAAAGAGAGGGTCTGTGTAGCCCGAGCTGGAACCAGACCATCTTCTTGCCTTTGCCTCCTCGGGTCTTGCTGAGCCGTTTCTCCACTTACAGCCCAGGAAGAGAGGCAAAGCCATTCTAGAGGGAAGAAAAAGCCAATCGCTTCATCCAGCTAAAACAAGCCTGGGTTGTTTCCGGCTCTAAAACAAAATATAAACTCAAAATAAATGGGGGGGGGGAATGAATGAGAACAGCAGGGTGGTAACCTGTGGCCATCTGACTCTCCATCTTAACATTAAGAGCCTGATGGGGGGAGATGGTTACAGGATAATGTATGAGGGGAGCTAATGAGAGGGGATAAGGGTTGGCACACAAGACTGAGAATCTGACCTGAGTTCAATCCCTGGGTCCCATGTGAAGGCGGAGAGAAAACCATGCAGAGTTGTGTACACACCCATACTACCCACAAAAATAATGATATATGTACATATATATACATATGTATGTATGTATATATATGTATATATATGTAGTAAGTATGGATATACATATCTACATCCATGTGAAAAGTGATGTCTGCTTTGGGAGCAGAGATACAGGCTACAGGACCAACAGCTCTTCACCCTCTCGAGGAGGTCACTTGTCATTATCTACTGCTAAAGGCTCCATGAACGCAGCTGGGGTACAATGTGCTCCATTCGGTCACCGCGATGGTTCCTCACCATGCCTCCCACCCCACACTGACATCAGCAGGCACTTAGTACATCTAACTGTCTACGCAGTCAGGGCGACGCCACAGGCATCCCGGCCACATAGGTGCAGCTGGTTACAAAATACTGCCAAACAATGGCATTTGGCAACTCGTCGGGTTGTAGACAAAGCTTTGATCCTGTCTGCGGAGTACCTGGACTTGGTCTCTCCTGCCTGTTGTCCCTGCCCTGACCAGTGTGGTCATGCCTGACACTCCCCTGCCTGTTCTTATACCAGTATCTTGGGTATTTGACACATCACCAGTTAAAGAAGGTAGCAGATAGAGCCACTGATACCTGCAGGAATGACACAGAAAGTTGACACAGAAAGTCGTGTCCTGCCAGGCCACTGAGGCCTTGCCCTAAATGCCCAGCTGGAGGCCCTGGGTCAGGCAGCAACTGCAGCCAAGATTCAGGAGCACAGACAGGGTGGAGCAGTCCACAGGGCAATGCACTGTGAGGGAGAGGAAGAACTGGGGTGACAGTCCGACCCATCACAGGGCTACCAAATGCCATAGTAGTAGCCCTGTGGGGTCATGTGTAGACTTGTATATCTATGAATCATAATGCAAATATCTGGTTGTGCTCTCTTGAAATCTCCACCTCCGAATAAATTAATCCATCACCTTTAAGTTTTGCCTTGGGCCTTGGGTGAGTTCTTAGGACAAGGGCAGAAGGAAGCTACATTTTTGCAAAAAAAAAAAAAAAAAAATCACAAGAAAGGTCTTTAGCACGGTTGCTAAAACATATTGTTCCCCTCTGAATCCCCTTGACCTGGGCTTCCATGGTCAGCATGACTCTTGACACTGCTGTCTTCCAAGCTTCTATTAGGACACCCCATTAAACTTTGTTTATAAGCATTCAATCTCTTCTAGTTCAAAGTTCCAGAGTCTTCCACATTCCTCAAAACACAACAAAACACCAGCATGGCCAGGTGCTACAGCAATGGTCTACTCCTTCATATTAACTTCTATATTAGTTACTTTTCTATTACTATCGTAGGACACCATGACCAAGGCAACCCATAAAACAAAGAGTTCATTCAGTCTTAAATTCCAGAAGGTTAGGGTCCATGATTTCCAGGCCAAGGCATTGTGGGAGGAGCTGGAAGCTGGGGACTCATCTTGAATCTTGAGTACAAAACAGAGAGGACTGGGAATGTTGCAAGGCTTTGAAACCTCAATGCTCCCCCCCCCACTCCCACAGTGACATTTTTCCCCTAGCAAGGCCACACTCCTAAATCTACCCAGAGTCACCAAATGGGAACCAAGTATTAAATACCCCAAACTATGTAGAATAGCTCATTCAAAATGTCATAGGAATTCAGGAACTCAAGTCAGTAGCGGGGAGAACCTCCACCACAGGTCAATGGGTGTTGCTGCAAAGCTTTGTTCTCCTTAGTCTTTCAAGTGAGAAGATGTGGATCAAATGAAAAGTGTAAACAAGCAAGCCCCGGGGGCTCTCCAGGACAAGGACAGCCATTTGAATCTGTTCTTACTTACAGGGTAAGGCCAGAGGTGCTGGACACTGAGATCATGGGAGGAGCCAACACAAACTCAAACTCTTCAGGTTTCGGGAATAAAAATACCATGAAAGCCAAGAGATGCAAGGTCATGCACCAACCGCTCACTTGCCCAGCAGATAAGATTACAAGCAATCCAAACATCCAGACCCAATTATTAAACAGTTTGCATTCTGCTGATACCTCTTAAACACAACCCAAAATGCTACAATCAAAAGAAACGCTATCTTATTTTGTTGAGTAAGACTTGAAAACACTAAGACCTCTGAACATGGCGGGCGGAATTTTGGCAGGAAGGCCTGCTAAGGGATGATAGAATAACGAATCAACACAACCTGACTTCCACACCAGCTGGCAGAAACCTGCCTAAGGATGTGTTTTCTCAGTGGATAATTCCTGAGGATTGACCAGAAGGCTGCAGACTAGAAAGGCTGAAGCAGGTGCTGTTTAGTCACCGGTACTCTGAGAGCTCACCTAAGGAATGAGAGGGTTAGCAACTTGAGGATGGGATGTCTTTGAAGGGGGAGGGATGGTTGTTGCTTTGTTTTGTCTTGTTTTTTTTTTTTTTTGAGACAGTATCTCACTATGTAACTCTGGCTGTCCTGGATCTCACAGTGTAGTCCAGGCTGGTCTGGAACCCACAGAGATCCTCCTGCCTCTACCTCCCGAGTGGTGGGATTGATGATATGTACCTACAACCAGCTGTGGGATGTCTTCAGACAGACCCTAAATCCTGAAGATTCTGTGCCCCCCTTGGCTTGCTTAGCAATGCTAGAGCTTGAGGCAATACAGGGTATGTGAGGGACAGGACAAAGTATACTTTGGGGGCTGGTGAGAGGGGTCAGAGCTTAAAGGAGCTTGCTGCCAAGACTGGCAATCTGTCTTCTATCCCTGGAACCGGTGTCCAGCTGGAAAGAGAGAAACAAGTCCTTTAAGTTGTCCACTGACATCTGCATATGTCACATACGCATACACAACAAATATATGTAACAAAATGGCTTCAAAGAAAAAAATGTTAAAGATCTTAAAAGTGTTTCTTTCCAGAGGTTCTGTTAACTTTTGAAACAACTGTCATCATTTTTTTACCCTGTGTTAAAAAAAAAAAAAAAAAGGCCATCAAATCATTGATTAAACCTATTTCTGGTGTTGCTAAGGTTTATGATACACAATCATAAGCCTGGTTCCTGTGAAACAAGGTTTTGGACCAGACAGTAATAGACAATCTTCAGAGAGGTTGTTGGAGCTGGAGAGATGGCTCGGTGGTTAACAGCACCAGCTGCCCTTGCAGAGGACCCATAAGGTGTCTCACAGCCATCTGTAACTCCAGTTCTAAAGTATCCGACCCTCTTCTGACCTTTGCAGGTACTGCATACATGCACGCTGCACATACACACATGCAGATGAACCACCTATATGCATGAAATAAAAATAAATAAATCTAAAAGAAAAAAATATATCCTTCAGAACAGCCAAACAGACTCATGCTACCCGAGTAGCCACACTGATTCTTGTGACCTGCAAGAATGGCCATATTAGCTCTTATAACTTGCAAGAGTGGCTACATTAACCCTCATGACCTGAAAGAGCAGCCATACTAACAATCATGATGCAAAAGAGTAACCTCACTAAACCCATAGGTTCCGAGATTTCAAGTTGAATGCAAAACTGCCAATATTAGTGGTCACTAGGTTTCTAAATTCATTTTGTGATACCTACAATAAGTTAGAGCAAAATATAAAACCAATCCAACCCAATATAAGTTGATTTTTAGAGACTTTGTAACTTTCTGTGTCATACTGACACAGAAGTGACAGTGTTAGTGCCAAGACCCTGCATCAAACACTTAACCCGCTCAATCTTACAGATAGCCTTGCACACACATACTTCTCTTTTTTTGACATAGTCTAAACTGAATGCAAAAACCATCTCAATCTACCTATTATGTCACATCATAGTTGGCATGTGTGCCTGAAAGAAAGATCTCATGGCAGGATGAGAAGTGAGAGGCATTTGGGAACAGTTTGGCCCTTTTTACAGCTAACCAGTTCTTGCTGCACAGACTCCCTCTAGAAGTGACCTAATCACCTTGCAGTAGGCACCATCTGTGTGCGTGCGTGCGTGTGTGAGTGCGTGCATGCGTGTGTGTGTGTGTGTGTGTGTGTGTGTGTGTGTGTGTGTGTGTGTGTGTGTGTGTGTGTGTTTTGCATAACTGTGTAAGCATGAAGAGACCAAATGAAGACATTAGGCATCTTTTTTCATCACTCTCTTCCTTACTACCTTGAGATTGGGTCTCTCACTGAAACACAGGCATGTTGTTTCATCTAGACTGGCTGGCCAGTAAGCTACAAGAATGTGCTTGTGCCCTGCTACCTTCCTATGCTGAGATTATAGGCATATACACTCACATACTGGGACATACAAGCTTCCAGAACAAGACCCTTTGGGGGACGTTCATAATAAAACCACCACAGTGACAGAACTTGCCATCCCAAACATGCCACTTGGACATGACTTCTCATTAAAGGCATTGAAGAACAGCAGGCACAAGGACACCTGACTTCTCTTGGCTCCTGAAATCTGGAGATGGAAGCCCCACATAAGGGTGGTTTTCTCACTGAGGGGAGGTCAGCCTTGGGTAAGCAGCTTTCACCTATCATCATATCATATCATATCATATCATATCATATCATATATCATATCATATATTTTTGGCTCATGTCACATGAAAGCATTCGTGTTTTTCCAAGTCCCCAGATGTCCCCAATACCCTTCACAGTTGTGTCTGACAAAGCTACATGGAGACCACTGTATAACTGCAGTCCTATACTATAGCCTCTCCCTCCTCTACTCTATCCTTTTACCAATAATGTATATTTCTTTGTTAGGAAAATCATACTCTCTTTTTAGTGAGACATCCTTCACTGTTGTTTAGTCCTCAGCATGCTGGTCTGGAGACATGGCTGGATGCAGGCACTTTGGTAGCCATGTGGACCCATGGGCTGTCATCAGGGTGTAAGGTCATCACATCTCAAGTTCGGTGCATGGAACAACTTCACAGAGAAGACTCTGTCAGCCCCAAGGGCAGCAACATCCACAGGGGACTAATGGGTCCCAAATGGCTACTGGTGGTGCTCCAACTTTATCTTTGTTCTGAGTGTTTTAGATGGGATCACCCATAAAGATAAACTTACCGTCAAAAACTATTTTTACTGAAATCTATTTCTTATGGGAAGAGGACTATAGATGTGTAATTCTTTCCCTCCACACTTCTCAGCATGTATTGAGGTTCTAGCAGCTGTAAAGGTAATCAGTGTATTTGAAACAGTGAGGAGCTTAGATGTTAGCATCAGCTTGCATTTCAGTTGGCTTTCATCCCTCCTTTAGTCCCATTTCCAGCCTAGTGTCTCTTGCAGTGGGTTCTGCATCCCAAGCCATGGTCATCATCTGTGGAATTTCATTTATTATGGATACAAGCGGCCCAGTATAGTCATCTAGGGCTAAGCCCTAGCATGATACAAGCTATCAACCCCTAAGCATGATACATGTCCAGCTACAGTTGGATGTTAGGTCCCCATTGCTATCACTAAGCCTGTCTGTAGATAAGACTAAGATATCTGAGGAGATTAAGAAGAAACAGAATTGTAAACTCCGCGTTTCGATTTTGTGTTTTCTTGGTAGCTGAAATCTTAGTAGTTGCTTGCTTGGATTTTTTTTTTTTTTTTTTTTTTTTTTTTTTTTTTGCCTTTTTTGGAGCCTGTCCTGGAACTCTGTAGACAAGGCTGGCCTGAACTCACAGAGATCCCCTGCCTCTGCCTCCCAAATGCTGGGATTAAAGGTGTGCTGTGTCACCACCACCTGGCATGCTTGCTTGGATCTTTTGAACCAGAAAGCCAACACTGGTGAACAACTTCTTCACTCAGACTTGCTATCAGGAGTGTCTCTGTGTTTATTATCTCTGGCTTCAACAGAAGTGGGAAATGAGTATGTCCTTACTCTCTGTGAGCATGGCACAAAGAATAAAACCAACTCATGCCCCTTCCATCCCTGAGTGCTTCCCAGTGTAGGGGCCTCTGGACAACGGGATGCAATGTGGTAGTAAAAATCTCTGACTTAACCCACTAGGGACTACTTACATCATCAACAGCGTGGACCACTTCTCCAGGGGTGGTGCTGTAGAGATAAGACAGCGGTTATGAGAGCGCCATTGTATGTGACTTCTTCCTGAACTCCTGACACCCACACTCCACACACTGGCAACCTTCTTATGCCTGCTGCTGTATTTCCACACTGCTTCCCTGGGCTCTGGATGCTTTCCCCTGACGCTCTGTTATCAAACCTTAGTGACACAGCCCACCTTTTCCTTCCTGACTCTTCACTTCCTACTCCCACCTCCTGCCTGTGTTCCAAGGTGGGTCAGCTATGGGTTAGGATCCATGCAACATGGGACTCTTCCCCACACACATCCAGTTTTAGGGCCAGAGTGGTAAGAAAAAGCAATGGCAGACTGTGTGCCTACACTTGGGAGCTCCAATGCCTACAAGAATCAGGAACCTTAAAAAAAAAAAAAAGCAGTACTTTCTAAACAAAAATTGAAGGAGAATAAGAAACTGTGCTCTGAGGAGCCTCTGAGGGAGAGGAACAGCCTAGTGACCATCCAGTCATACAGGACACATCTGCCTCTGAACTACTCAGCATTTCATCTGGAGTGTGGGATGGAGTGGGGGTGACTGAGTCAGCAGTTCTCATCTCCTCAGTGTGTGCCCTTTAGACCAAGGATTTGGGGGGAGGGTGGCTGCTGTACCCTGCAGGTGGGAGCAGATTAACGGTAGTGGTGGTGTAACAGAAGTAAGCCTGTGAATAGGATTTGAAAGGCACGGTCAGGAAAGCTCACGCTCTTCTGAACTAAGTCTCACGGGACACTGCTCCTCTCTGGATGCAGCTCTGGACAGATGACCATAGTTATAGGTGTGGAAGCATCTTATGCACCGTGGCTGGCAGAATGGCAGACTTAAAGATTTGAAAAGAAAACACCTCTGCCACCACCTATGTAAACATGTACACATACAACACATACACGTGTGCGTACACACATCTCTTGTAGCCTCTGTGTAGGCACCTGTACAAACATGTACACATATAACATACACAGGCACACACACACATACACACAGATGACATGTGTCGCAGTACTACAAGGGTGTGATAGAAATAGAAAAGTTTCAGCTAGGCTTCTCAGAAGACAAAAACTGTTTTGAGATAGGACAATGGGATCCAAAGCATGGAGCAGGCCAGGGAGTCAACACCCACTGCAGACCCAAGGAGACCAGCCTAGCCCAGAGGTTGGGGACATGGAGGTGAGAGGGTAGGAACAGACAGGGGAGGAAGGAGGCAGAGGTCTTCTTAGGATCCCCTTAGAGCACCTGTCCTGCTGAGCTTAGTGGTCAAGAACTCACTGCAGTTTCACACTCTCACCACCAAGACCCTGTAAGTCACAACTTGACATAACTTGGCCTTGAGGAGAGGTCTCCGGAAGGAGGATGAAGGGATAACTTAAAGAGGAAGGCTGGGTGGAATGGGACCCTGCTACTTGGACAGGACGGAGACTTAGCTCGATGAACATGCTTAGGCATATATTCTGGCCATTCAGACCCGTCCCATTGGGCCTGCCCTGCATCATCAATGAGGAGCACCACCTGGGCACCAGGAGCCACTCCAGAGTCAAGGGCTGGCAACACAGGGGCACAGCAATTCCTGACACTACCCTAAGCCTTTCTCTTCAAATGTGTCCCCCAACCCAAGCCATGCACAGACAGAATGGGAAAGTAAATTACCAGTTCTGTGAAGCCGAACCATCCAACTTGTGCCCAAATGACCAAAAGGGACGGATGCGACAGTGGACTCGAATGTTTCCCTTCAGCTCCTACAATGGCAGAGAACTTTCAACATCACCTCGAGGCTGGCTCAGCAGCAGGTGCCCTGACCTCTGAGATCCCCCACAGGGCAGCCGGTTCGGTGCTACTCAGGGTCTTATTATTCAACCTTAACAGATTTTTTTGTTAAGTAGCAACAGAAAGCCATTTCCTGGTAACATGGGCTAAATCTCTGGGCATTTTAGGAGGAATTTCGAGCATTTGGCTCGTGGCCTATATCCTGACCTTCCATGGGGCCAACTTGATGACATCATGGTTATGGGCTGCCTGTTCTCCAGGTCAGAGGCAGCGGATGGACGGGGGATTTACATTGTTCTGTAGATACTGTCAGCATAGGATTCAGTGATGCGTGAAGCTGGGTTCCATGTCTGCCAAGCTGGTCTTAAACACTTTTTGTTCACTGTAAAGACATGGCTCTGCCTAAGGTGCCTTCTAATTGGTTTAATAAGGAGCTGAATGGCCAATAGCTAGGCAGGAGAGACTAGGTGGGACTTCTGGGGAAAGAGAGGAATTCAGGAAGAATTTGAGGCACTGGGGATTTTGCCAGTGAGATACAAAGGGATACAGAATGGAAGAGAGGTAAAGAGCCAGACAGCAGTGTGTAGATGAATATAAATGATTAATTTAAGTCTTAAGAGATAGTTGTAAACAAACCTAAGCTAAGGCCAAGCTTTTATAATTAACAAGAAGTCTCCATGCCATTATTTGGGAGGTGACACTACAAAGAAAGTCCAACAACAACAGCTATTCAAACATGATCCTTGCTGTCAGAACCTGCCTGGGCTGAGGGTGTGTGGCTGCTGTGGGGACCCCACGTTCTTCAGCATCCATCACCCACACCTGTCTGGTCTGGCTTTCTGTATCTGACGTGGGCTCATCCCATCAACACTGCCTGATCTTTTTCAATTTTCTGTCATCCTCAGCTGTGGGAGCTTTGCCTTTTCATGCCAAAAGCATCAGGGAAAGTAATACACATAAAGCCATGGCAGAGCCTAGTGGATGTTTGTAAACACTGCAGAGAGACCTCCACACATGGCCAGGCTCCTGGAGACAGGGTTCTTACCGCTCTTCTCTCATGAGCTTTCCAGTGGGTTACTGAGAAGATGAGTGAGTGATACACTTCAGCCAGTCAGCCCATCGGCATGTTTGGAACCCGTCTATCTTTATGGCTTGCAGTAATCCCCCCCTCCAAATGCTTGCAATTAGGCTCTGTACATCTACCCAGGTCTTCAGTACCTGGGGAGAACTGGGAAAGCCTTGTTCTCATGAGTTCTTGTTGGTTCTGGGAGGGGGTGTGTGTGGACCTTTTTCCTTAAGAACCAGCAGTGCTGTGAATATTAAAATGTTTGTAGTGCGTGTGTGCATTTGTGTGTGCACCTGTTTGTAGGTGTGTGTGTGTGTGTGTGTGTGTGTGTGTGTGTGTGTCTGTGTGCTTGTTTTTGTTATTGTTTTGGTCTGCTTTTCTTTTTCAAGAGAGAGAAAGAGAAAATTAAGTTGGATAGGTAGAAAGGTAGGGAGGACCTGGGGGGGTTTGAGGAAGGGGGAAAGCATGATCATAAATATGATATATGAAAAAAAAAGTTTTCAATCAAAAATTTTAAAAACAGAGAAAATTCCCTAAAACACTTTAGCCAGTGCATGTTACACTGGGCGTGCCCAAAAACTCTTCTCTAAGGTCAGTGTTCTGAGCACTAACACAGGTAAGCAGATAGCTCCCAGGGACCATTGAAGTCCAGTGCAGCTGTATCACAACAGGCAGACACATAGGTTTTACAAAGTTGGTAACCAGGGTTCAGAGACACTAGGCAAAGCACGCTGTGGAAGCCACATCTTTGGAAAGCAAGATGGCCAAATGAACTGTAGGCCTTACCTGCTTACGTTAGTGTGTGGAGGCCTGAGTTTGAACTTCTGGTCTTCCAAGGGAACTTAGGTGTTATGCCTCTTGGGAAGGTCAGAGATCCTTGGAGTCTCCTCTGTGGTTGAGAAAAAGCCCTTCGAGGCTTTGAGGGGTGACAGGGGGAGCTGCCTTTGAAGCCTCAGGGACCTGATGTCCCGGGCTCTGATATCCTGAAAAAAACACCCCCTACTCAACTCTGTCCCATTCTTCACCTCGGCTTATCTGTCAGTTTTTGATGTTTTGTTGTGATCACATTACCTATAGTGACTACGGCTGCTGGTGCCTCTTAACCCCAGGACTGTGGCAAGCCTCTTTCTCTCCATCATTGCCTCCTGGCTGAGTGGAGAGGCCAAAGGATTCTGGGTGAAGAGGATGCTTGATCCTAACTGACAATTTGTGGCTCACTCTCACTTCCTCTGCCCTACCTTGGGCTGTGACTCCTGCCTGCAAGCATTCCTGTCAGATTCTAGCAATTTCAGCCAGCTGTCGCTCAGGTGTGGCCTCAACACCACCCTTGGGTATGTTCTGAGTTACTGAGCTGCTTGTTGGCCCTGCATGCACTCACCACCAGGCTGTTGTGGAGGGCTCGCCTCCTCTGCTGCTCCAGGTGATACCGTGATTCCAGCTCCTCCAAGTGCTGCTGCAGACGTGCAGCCTCTGACTGACAGGCTGCAGAGGGACAATTCACCCCAGGTTACAGCCCAGTTCTCACGAGGAGACCCTGCGGTCTCCTACCCCCCCAAAAAAAGATTTAAATCATAAGAAGGCTTGTGGGTAGGCTGTGGGCCACAGTGGATTCTCAAGCCAAGGTTCTGGATGCTCAATGCTCATGGTAAGAGGTCCTGGCTCTAATGACTAACCACTGTGGGTTGAAATATATCCAGCCCTGGAGCTTTCCCAAGCGTCACAGGTTTCCATGATGCCCCCACTGTGTGGGACAAGGTCACACGGCAGACGTTGGGCTGACTTTTAGCTCTTCCTATATATCTTGGGACCCAACATTTTCTCTGTCCCGCCAGGATGACCCCCATCTTTTACAGGGAGAGTCATGCTGCTTCACAGTACAGGTGGGAATCCCTACTCTAAGGAATCTACACCGAGTCCCTCTGGCTTGGCTGGCAGATGGCCTCTCATCTTCCATGAGCTGCTGCTGCCTGCTCTCCCGTCAGAGTTATGGAATAGGCTGCTTGAGCAAGGATGTTGGCTGAGATCTGTCTCTTGAGAAGAACTGGAGGGGACATGTTGTCATAGTTGACTGGTACCTCCTGAGACTCCCCTACCCCCACCAAAGCCTGGCAACATGAGAAGCAGACTGGGATGCCCTCCCCCTCGGCTGCATTTCCTAGGCACATCACATACAGTGCCCTGTGAGTAGTGGGCAGTGATTCGTGGCTACAAAGTCGTCACACACAGCAGCACTTCCTAGGGAGAAGCCACACTTGCTCTGCTCTCCATGGTCTCCTTCGGTTTGTCATGATTTGTCCCCGACCCTCTTGGGAAAGATGATTAACTCTTCCCATGCAGCATGCAAATGAAGACCATACACATGTATACTACACACATACTACCCGTGCATACAGACCACACACACTCTACATGTACTCATCACACACAGCAGACACATGCACCATACACATGAGCATGTGTACGCATGTACACATATCACATCATACGTACAAGCACACACATGAAGACACTGTAAACCATAGACACATTATGTACACATGCATATACCACACACACACATGCATAGGTATACAAACATACTGTTCACACATATACACCTACACATACACACTCACACCTACAGAAGCCTCAGGAACCTCTAGGGGGTTATGAACATGAAACCAACTTTGCTATGGAGACTACAGTGAAGTCCTAGGGCAATCGTTATCTAATGTAAAATGGTAACCTAACCCCCAAAGCAGGAAACAGCTGTAAGTTTTGATGCACCTCTTTTGAAATAGCATGGTGACCAGCTTCCCTTGGGACTTGTCACAGGTGTGGATTGCATGACATTGGAGGATAAGTGGGGCTCTTTGCACATACAGTGCTGTGGGAAGGAGATAAGCAGGGTCCCTGGAAACGACAACTGACCTGGTAGAATGGGACACTTCACCTCCTCTTTTGGAGGAAAACTGACCCAGGAAGCTCATGGCCCTGGACATCAAAGTCAAGAACATGTTGCATGGGTGTTAGAGAAGGGAGGGCTTTGTAGCAAGGTGAGCTGCAGGGAGGTGGGCAGACCACCAGACGCTGGAGGGAGAGGCATTTCATCATGGTGTGAGTGGCACAGTGTTTATTATTGCCATCACGTTAGACATATGCCAGGGGTAGGAAGACATGTGGGTGGAATCCCCGGTGGGACACTGTTCATAGAGTTTCTTGTAAGCATGTACTTGGTTGTGCTCTCACCTTGAAGAGCCTCGATGCTCAGCTGTGTCCTCTGCACAGCAGCTGTTATGTCAGAAAGGCAGCTCTGGTAGTCACCCTGATAGCTTTGCAAGAGCACCAGAAAAGAATTTCGAAACTCCTTGACATCTTGTTGAAGTTTCTGTGTAATGAAAACACAGTTAACGCAACCGATCATGCCATTATCAGCCACTACAGTCTAACTGTACAACCAATCACAACAGCCCCACAGAATACGAAAGGGGCCTGCAATCGGCAACCCTGCAGGAACCTGTTATGAACTAGGGGCTTGTGAAGTGGTGGTTCTTCCTCCAACACACAAGGTGAGTGTTTAGCACACACGAGTCCAGCTTCCCTTCAGAAGTTTTTTGTTTTTTGTTTGTTTTTGTTTTTGTTTTTTTGAGACAGGGTTTCTCAGTATAGCTCTGGCTGTCCTGGAACTGGCTTTGTAGACCAGGCTGGCCTTGAATTCACAGAGATCTGCCTGCCTCTGCCTCCCAAGTGCTGGGGTTAAAGGTGTGTGCCACTGCTGCCCAGCCCCCTTAAAAGATTCTCACTCAATAGCTCTGGGGTTAGTGCTTTGAGAGCAGCTCACAATTCCATATATCCCCTATTACTGAGATTTTCAGGAAATAGAAAAACCACAGCTCCTTGTGTGAGCACAAACTGTCTTTCTGACATGTTTCACAACCTGGTGATTATGGCGGAGCACTGGAGCTGTGTTAAGCAAGAGCAAAGCTCTGATGGGCTGTCCAGACCAGTTTCTGGAGGCTTCATTATCATGAGCTCAGGCCAGTAAGAAGCAACTGCAATACCCATGTGCATGACAGAGTTCCAGGAATGGGCTTCATCAGAGCTTTCAGAGAACTTCGGGAACAATACAGCTATGTCCTGTGCGTCACACATTCCCCCTGTCCAACCCCAGCAATTATTTCAAGGACTTTCAGCATGATGACCTGACAATGAATAGATGAAAGGATGTGGCATGGTTTAATATTTACTCTCAATAACACATCATGATGTGTTACTTGAGCTTAACCACAGGGTCTTTTTGTCTCTAGTTATGAATAATGTAGATTCTTCTGTGCACAGAAATATTGTAATAAAGATGGCAAAGCTAAGCTGAATCGAGGTGCTTTTATCATAGAGAACATAGTTATGTGCTTATTCAAAGACTGGCTGATTTTACTAAGGTGGGAGGGAATTTACAGTGACTTCTACATGAACCCATTATGGACGAATATAGCTTAAGCCTTCACATTGGACCACAACTGGTTAATCCTGTTTGCAGATGGTGTTTACATTGTTTTAACGGGTTTTTATTTTCCTGTTTCCCACCCTGGTCACATTGTTTTTAACATAAGGTAGAACAATGTTTTTAATCAATAGTATAAAAATATCTACCACCATCTCACATTGGAGACTTGCCAAATACACTAAGTGAGAAAGCTGTTTTCCTGGCTTTTCCTCTAGAAGTCACTGACAGTCTAAGAACTGGCTTGTGTGTGTTCTGGAGCAGGGGATACCTATATTATTATAAACACTGTCTACCATTAAACTTTAAAATAACCACTGTGGGGGTTGGAGAGATGGCTCAGCAGTGAAAGAGCACTCGGGGTTCAATTCCCAGCACTCACATGGCAGTTCCTAACTGTCTGTAACTACAGTCTCAGGAGATTGGATGCCCTCTTTTACCCTGAGGACAACTGCACACGTATGGCGCATGGACACATATGTGGGGGAAAGACCGATACACATAAAAATAAAAACTGTGACTAAGGAGACTAAGTGTCCATTGCTGCTGTCTCAAGCCATTTGTCTTCTGGCCCCAAAACTACTTTTATTTCATGTCTGCTCAGGAGCCAATAAGTGCTTTGGGGCTTTCTTTTTTACCGAGCATTGGAAAGCTGAATGTGTGTGAGTGCCCTGGGGTGAGCCTCTTCTGACATGGCAGAGGCCCAAGGCTCTCCTAAGCCCTGCACCACTCAACAGTCAGTTCGTGAATGGTGATTTGGGCAGTGCTGAGGTCACCTCTACCCTAGTTGGGTAGCCAGGCTGGAGGAAGGCTGCGTGGGTACTTCCCTGATGGCACTGCCTCATCCTGAGCAGAGCAGAAAGCCAGGCCTCACGGCTGCTCCTCTTCATCTTCTCCTGGTACTATATAGAAAGAAAGAAAACACAATGTAAAGTTTACAACCTTGAAAACCCAGCAGGTACCTTCCCCATCCCCCAATAAGAAGTTATCTGATGGTCCATGATACACAAGACACAGGAAGAGAAATGCCAACAGAGTAAGAGTTGGGAGAGTCAAACAGGGAAAACCAGGAGTGTGTGCAGTTTAAGATTGGGAATCTTAGGGCTAGGCCTGAAGGCACTGGCCAGGTAGAGGAGACACAGGAGAGCCCAAGCCAAGCCAAAGCTGTGAGTGACAGACCTCAGAAGAGAAATGACAGGCAAGGAAGTGCAAACCTGGGCATTCACTTAAGGGCAGTGCAAACCTGGGGAAGGCTTTCAAATAGCAAGGCACACATTTTTAGATCTTTCTGGATTTTTGTGGAACATTGGGGGAGGTGGCAGGAAATACTCCCCGTGGAATGCTAATGGGGACCATCTAAGACTTAAGGAGGACAAAAGAAAAGCATCCAGGCTCCAGGACAAGGCAGAAGTGCTGGCAGCGGCCAGGGTTCTGCACCGGTTTCTGCAGGTATGAGTGCAAGGGCCCCAAATGAGCAAGGTGATGACTGTGGGTTTTGCTTCATTTTGTTGCTTTCCTATATGTTGGGTGGGGGTAGGTATCTATCCTTTCACTGTCTTTATAAGCAGTGGGTGCTGGCAGGCCCAGCCTCTCAGAGACACCAGGCACACACCTCACAGTGAACCACATGTTTATTCACCCTAGCCAAGAGCTCACATCACACAGTACGGAGGCCCATTGTTAAAGCTAAGAGCTCACCACAGTCATGTGCAGTAGCAGATCAGTGCTTGGTTCTCACTCTTTAGGAAGCAGGGCCCTAACCTCTGACGTGCTCCTGTGATAGAGACAGTGTCTGAGCTCCTGTGAGGAGGACACTGCCCAACACAGACTTCTAGTGTCTGGCTTTGTCCTTGATTGACACTGAGAGTAGATAAGCTCTCTCAAACAGAGTAGGAGAGGGCAAAGGCTGCCCCGAGGATGCCCAGCAACCTGTTGTAAATGGGTTGAAGGGTTGTGGCTGGGTCAGATCTGTCTGATCTGAACTATTCTGGATCAGTGTGGAAACTGTTCAGAAGGACAAAGGCTCCAAGGGAAACTGAAGGGGGTGGGGAGGGAGTGGAGGCTTAGGAACAAACTTCCACAGCTTGGTTAGGGATACTGCAGAGAACAGTGTTCCTCTAAGATTCATGCTGACAATGTCCACTGTCGTGGTATAAGATGGGGCCTTTGGGCGGTGATGAAATCGTGAGGACTCTACCCTCATAAATGGACAAGACTAGAGAGTTATTTGCTCATCTACACCACAGGAAGATATCTAGACAGTACCAATTAGAGAAATGAGCTGGTCATAGATACCAAACTTGCAGTGCCTTAATCTTGAACTCCAAAACCAAGGGAAAGAAATGTTCTTTGTAAATTATAGTCTCAGGTATGTTGTTATAGCATACATACCTGAGTTGTAGCAGGGTTCGTCTGTAGATTTGCTAAACACAGAATGAACTCCTGATGCATAAATTATACAACACATCTGCTGGGTGTATCATTAGTGAATTATTCCTTAGATACTTGTGAGCACCAAGATAAATAATTTAGAATTCAATCCTGTTCCAGTATAGGATGACATGCTAACTGTCAACTCAAGTGTTCCTTCCACCTCACTGAATGGGACAAAAGATCAGCTGAAAGTGGCTCTCCCTTTGCATCTTTTGCAAATCCAGTAGCTGACTTCAAACAGCCCCTCCTGCTTGGTCTGTTGGTCTATCAGTCTACAAGGCACATTAGAATGTTACCTCTGCCAATTTCAGGTGCAGAATAGCATTTTCTGTTTCCAGTTCAGCTATTCTTCCTTCTTTGACCTACAACCAAGGATCCAAAAGGAAATCCCATCAATACAGCCCTTTTTTGGTCATACTGAAATACTGCAAATGAACAGGAATACAAAAAAGAGTGGATAGTTTCAGGAAAGAGCTACAAGGAAGCTCAGCTGTCAGGGTGCTCAGACTCCTTCACATACTGCAGAGACAAGACAAGCCCACCTCAGTGAGGCCTGGCTGTCAGCAGCGGCCCCATTGACTTACTAGGAATACAAAACTCCAGACTCTCTATCCTTTGGTCAGAAAGGTACCAGACAGCATTGCTGGGAAGTGGAGAGTTTCCAGAGGAAGCCATAGAATCAGTCCACCTTCCACCTTTAATCCCAGCACTCGGGAGGCAGAGGCAGGGGGATCTTTGTGAGTTCGAGGCCAGCCTGGTCTACAGACTGAGTGCCAGGATAGGCTCCAAAGCTACACAGAGAAACCCTGTCTCAAAACAAACAAACGAAAAAAAAAAAAGAAGAAGAAGAAGAAGAATCAGTCCACCTTCAAAAACCAAAAGCAGCTGGGTGGTGGTGGCACGCACTTTTATTCCCAGTACTCCAGAGGCAGAGGCAGGTGGGTCTCTGTGAATTCAAGGCTGGTCTACAGAGTGAGTTCCAGGACAGCAAGGGTTCGGCAAAGAACCAGTTTTGAAACTTGTAATTTAAGAAAAGCAGTGTTCGAGAGAAAGACACCATATGACAGGGTTCAAACAGAGGGTTATTTTTTGTTTGTTGTTTTGTTTTTGTTTTTTTTTTCTAAATTAGGGAAAGGGATCATAAAAAGAGGAAAGGGAAGGTGTGAGACCAGCCTCCAGAGACAGGAGCAGCAGGAGAGAGGAGAGAGGAAAGAGTGGGAGAGAAAAGAGGGGAAGAGAAACAGAGAGAGAGGGACAGAGAGAGAGGGAGAGAAAGAAAGAGAAGGATGGGAGGTGGGCAGGGTCCTTTTAAAAGGGAACATAGTGAATATGCACAAGTGGTGCTCTTAGTGGCTACAGCTAAGGGCATATCCTGTCAGAACCACAAGGACAGGCCAGTACTGATGCCTGAATACTAACAGAAACCCCTCCTCTCAAATTAAAAAAACATAAACACATATATAAATAAAAATAAGAAAAATTAAAACGCCTAAAACAGGCCCCTATAAATCCCCAACCCTCAACTGCGTGTGCGTGCGTGCGTGCGTGCGTGCGTGCGTGCGTGCGTGCGTGCGTGCGTGTGTGTGTGTGTGTGTGTGTGTGTGAAGAGATGTGGAGATTCGGTCCTTCCTTTCATGGCTCTAGTCATTTTTGCTTGAGATTCAGTCCCTCTTGCAGGGACTTCAGTCTCCAGATAGGGATGCAGTCCCTCTTGTTAGAGAATTACTCTCTAAATTGGCTCACAAAGAATCTGTGATCTTCTAAACTCTAACTTGTAAACCTAGGAGTTATAATAGAGTTGTTAAATTTCTTCAGTTCCTGATGAGCAATCTCTGGGATATTTTGATGAAATTTACTCAAATCCTAGATTTCAAACTATAATAGCAGTTACAGTTATAAGTCTGGTAAGTGTTTGGTCAAATTTGTTTCAAAATATTTTGATGGTACTGTACATGGAATGTTTTCCTAATTTTACTTGTATTCATTGCTAGAACATAGAAATGCCATTTATTGCTGTAGATGGATGTTGCATTCGTTGGTCTCGTATAACTCACTTTTTTTTGGGGGGGGGGGTTAGACAGGCTTTCACTGTGTCTTTGGAGGCTGTCCTGAACTAGCTCTTGTAGACCAGGCTGGCCTCAGACTCACAGAGATCTGCTTGCCTTTGCCTCCAGAGTGCTGGGATTATAGGCATATGTGACCAATGCCCGGCTCTATAACTCACTTTTCAATGCAAAAGGTTTTAGCAGATTTCTTGGGGCCGCATCTATAACACGGTTCCATCTGCAAGCAGACTGCTTAATGCTTCCTTCCCCATGCAATGCCTTTTTCCCTTTGTTTTCTTCCCTAGCTGAATGAGTTATACCCCCGGAGCAGTGCTGCACAGCAGTGCCAGAAGGATGCCTTCACCATGATCCCGGGATATGAGCATTTCCCAAGTCTGGTCCAATTAGAATGTGACTTAGGAAAGTCTGTGAGGATGGACAGTCCTTTCAGTGCCTTTGGTAGGCCATGGGGTAACTTTCGGCTTGTTATGTATGGGCTGTAACACCCTCAACCCCAATTCCTATGGTGAAATATTAAGTCCTAGCCAGTATCTCCGAAGGTCACATTTGAAGACAGTGCCTACAGGGTAATTGATTCAAAGAAGCCTTGAGGGTAGGTTCTTATGTTATTTCATTGGTGTCCTTCTGAATGCAACTCTGGAGCCACAGACACCTCAAGGGTGCACAGAAGAGCCCAGGACACCATGGGGGAAGCAGCCACCTGCAAACCAAGGAAAGACTTGGGGCCAACTCTCTTGCCCAAGACTTCCAGCCTCAAGCACACATTAATCTCTGCACAGTTCTGGAGGCAAAGATTGGAATGTGCATTCTTGGTGCCATTGAGCCTGCAACTCATGGCTGCAAACCCATATCTCCTGCATCTCACAGCAGCAAACCCATCTCTCCAATCTACCCTTATTCATGGATCATTTGCTCAGCAAGTGTTGACCCATCTCTGTGCTCTCAGCAAAGTGCCCACCTTTGAGCTTTTAGCCTGCCTTTAGCTTATCATGCAGCCTGTGGCCTACAGCTGAGGTGGAGGAAAAACTAGATCTCAAACTTCTTGGCCACCCCTTTAATAAATTATTGACCAGACTTTCCGGGTCCCCTCACTTCCATGCTGCCCACTGTGGGACTGGGTGACTGGAGCCCACACACTCATCTTGACCTAGTGTGCTGGATTGGTGAGAAGTACTGAGATGTATCCCTTATGGTGAGAGAAAGTGGTCCTGAGTTGGGTGCTGAGGCACTCCCAGGGTGTGTATAGGTTCTGATAGCTGAGCCCCAGATGTTTAGCACTTTTTGCTGGAACAAATGCTTCTTTCTTTAATGTGCCGTCTTAGGCAAATTTGCAAAGTTGCTGTGGCTCTCGCCTTTTTTTTTTTTTTTTTTTTTTCCCGAGACAGGGTTTCTCTGTGTAGCTTTGGAGCCTATCCTGGCACTCGCTCTGGAGACCAGGCTGGCCTCGAACTCACAGAGATCCGCCTGCCTCTGCCTCCCGAGTGCTGGGATAAAAGGCGTGCACCACCAACGCCCGGCAGCTCTCACCCAGTTTTCCTTGGAACATACCCACCGCAGAGCTCCTTGTCTTTTACCTTGGAAGCCTCATGCTTCAGCGGCTTATGCAGTCAGCTGTTTCAACATCCTGGATCCACTACCTGCTACAAAGTGTTACTTTTTTTTTTTTTTTTTTTTTTTTTTTTTGAGACAGGGTTTCTCTGTGCAGCTCCGGCTGTTCTGGAACATGCTCTGTAGACCAAGCTGGCCTTGAACTGAGAAATCTGCTTGCCTCTCTCAGCCTCTATGTTGCTTCCAGCATACCACCATGGCCTGGCTGGTCACATATCCAGAGACCTCTCCTAAGCCCTAGGCCCCACGGTGCAACAGGAGCTTCCAGTCTCTACAGCTCATCCATGTACTCTTTTAACTTTTGCAGGGCTGATTATAGATCTTGTAAGGTTCAGGATCCCTGCTTAGCATGGTGGTGTTTGCTGCATGAAGAAACATGAACCACAAAACTCAACAAACCCACATGGAATTTATTGGGAAGGGGAGTAGAGGGGGGCTAGGTGTTGGCCAACGGGGAACAGAGATGGAAGGGGGAAGGGAAATGAGATAAAGAGACAGAGAGAGGACAGAAGAGGGAGACAGGAAAAGTCCAGTTTGCCCCAGGGGAACAGCAGGAAAGAGTGGGAAAGAGAAGAGCAATGGGCGGGGCGGGGGGGGGACCGCTGGGTGGGGGGGGTCTTTCTTTTAAAGGGGTCCTTTGCACCTGCCTGCAGACTCCATGGGACCTTGGGCTGACCAGGGTACTGCCTGAGTGCATTCTTCCAGGTGACAGGGGCAGACCAGCATAATGCCTGAATCTTTATATTTTTGTCTATTGATCATTTGTTCTGCTGTGTGCTCTAAGAGGACAACGGTTAGGATTACATTGATTACTGTTGGTTAACTATTGTAGTCCCCAAAGTTGCTCAGTACCTAGATGGCCAGCAGAGATGAGACAGGTGCCAGGTTAGGAGACCCCGAGGTGGGCTGACGGGATGGTCAGGCACCTCACGTGGGAATTGAAGGGAGGAGCCTTAAGTGCAATTGGGAGAAAACACATTCATCGTCTTTAGATCCTGGACACTGAGAACAAGGCAGATGGAGCCAGTCCTGGCCGAGAATGATCAAGTGAGATTCACAACTCAGTGATTCCCAAGCCAACCCAAGTCCTCCCAGGTCCCCTACAGGCCTGGGAGAACTGAGGGTTCCCCCTCACACTCACCCGCATTTGATGCTGAAGCTGTCGCAACTTCTGTTCTGAGAAGTCCCACAATATATGGTGCCCTGGCATTTCCCTGCCTCTTCGCAGTAAGCAGCGGGTGAAGGGCGTGACTAAGTCTTGGGGTCTCTTTCATTAACCGCTCACACGCATGCGCCGTGCCTATCCACCGAAATTTCTTCTGGGCGCTGCTAACCAGCTCATAGAACATCGGGCATTGCTCCTGCTTTTCCAAGAGCAGTGGGGTCCCGGTAATGCTTGTAGAATCACTTTACCAATGGCCTTGAAAGCCTATCTCACCTACATCTCTTCCCAGCCCTCTCTGGTTCTGCCTCCTGAGCCTCTTTTCTCTGATGCACTAGCCCTTCCTTTCCCTCTATCATATCATCAGAGCCTACCATACCTACAGTGTCAACCCTCCACAGGTCCTGTGTTTATCTTATACTGTTAACACTTAAATTACATACAACTGGTCTGCTTCTGTCTTCTCACCCCAACTGCCACCCCTGGGAACGCATGGTGAGGAATGTCAGCATTGCCTGTAGACTGCTTAACAAGTTAAGGCAATCCCAAGACTGGCACTTATGCTCCCAGTTCTGTAATAGTTGAAATACTATAGGAATAAAACCACCTGTCTGTCACTAGGGGTATAAAATTTCTACTGCCAAGTCAGCCAACCAACATATTCCTTAATCTTATCATAAATGCATAAATACATCTGAAATCACTGTATTAGCTGGGAGGACACAGAGGAAAAATTATCTAGGGTTTGGTAGATGCTCTCATGAAGTGACAGAAACAACAGACAACTGTAGGCCAGAACCACTATCTTCCTAAGAGGGAGGGAGGCCCAGGAGGGGATGTTGCTGAATCAGTACTGATTCTGTTTCTAAGTGTGTCTACAGAATCTAAAAACCACAGCAAATTAAAACATAGTATACACAAACATAATTCAAATATATAAATGATTCTACAAAAAAGGCTCCCCACAAGTTCCTTCAACCCTCAAACATGCCTTCCTTCCTTCAAGTTTTTACTTTTTTACAGTACATTGCTGACTGTAATACTTTACCATGTAACAGTACTCAAAAGTTATTCCTCTTTCATCTAAAATTTTATATCCTGACCAGTAACTCCCCACCCCCTCATCCCATTTCACCAAAGCCCTGAAAATTGGATGCTGCACTGCCCCAGTGCTAAAATATAAAGGCTGCTACAACTATAGGGCTTGACCACAGCCTTTGCTTTCAGCCTGCTAGAACTGGCCAGTGTTCATTCCTTGTGACAAGAAAACATAGCTTCAACCCAGTAATCCTGAGGTTCAAATATGTATGACACCACAGCACCTTTTATGCAATGTGCTTAATCACTGAGTATGTTCTGGGATTACAGTGACCAAGATGGGACAGTGGAATGAAACATGGTTCCAGTAGCCATTTGTGTAGTTGAATGCCCAAGCACTGGTCATGAAGACAAAGGTGGCCAAGCTCTCATATGAGACTCTTGTGAAAATGTCATCCTAGTTTTTTAGCTGGTTGTGTCATCAATCAAAGAACACTTACCCACAGACAAAAAAACAACTGAGGGACACAGGAGTGACACTCAGCATTGTTTAATGAAGTAGTGACAGATGGAAATGGGGGAGAGGAGGGCTGGCATTACAAATATAAACTTTGTCAGCACTTTGAAAACAATAGCAAATACACTTAAATAGATACAAAGTTTATTAAAAATAGGCTGCAACTGAAATACAGTAGAAATGGAAAACAGCAGTTTGGGTGTTTCCCCACGGTAACACATACTACGTGTAACTCGCTCTTACAACACATATTCACATTCAATCTCAGTGTCCAGGGGAGGCCAAGTCTACTTCACTATGGGTTTCACAAACACACATGCAGAGTTTTCAGATGTTTGCAGGTTCCTGTGTGCATCTGTCTTCCCACGTACAAGCAACAGCAGGTATCTGCTCTTCTCTGGGAGGTGTGGGTATGCTACCCAAAGGCTGCCAGTGTGCTCCAGACATAAGAAGATTGTACTTCCTGGGCAAGGCAAGTGTGCAAATCCTTCATTAACTCTGAACCATTCAATTCTCTTACAGAGGAAACAGCAAAGGCACACTTTCAAATAGGAAGCTTGACAGACATAAAAAATATTTACATTTGTATTTCAACAATTTATCATACAGTTCTTATTAAAAGTGGTTTTTAGGGTTGCAAATGCTTCTGCTGTATTTGAAAGTGTGCCTGTTTTCTTAATGTATAGATCTGCCAGAGAATAGTGTGGTACAGAAAGATCATCTAGATCCACATTAGTTAGGGCTTTGCCGAATAGGAAGTGTGCTTGAAGTCATAAAGTTTGCTTTCACACAAGCATAAACAAACTGATGTCTGTCTCCCACAACTCAGCTGGAGGAATAACAGCTCAAATTCAAAAATTAAAATTAAACTACTCTATTATGCTGTGAAAGAAATGTAGATTGAACTACCACAAGTTATTCTTACAGTAGTAAGTTCAGATGGCACAGTAACCAATTCCTCCCCTTTATGACAGTATACCTAACACAAATCTTTCTTTGTTAAATTTAAAATTTCTGATAGCTATGTTTGACTGCCACCTGTGAGCTCCACTCATCTCGGATGTCTTTGCTTCTATCTAAATGAATGCTGTTTAGCTAGAGAGCTCTAGATTCTTTGGAATATCTGAAATATTAGGTATCTTCCCAACATAACCATCATCTTTAATTTTTACCAATGATTAGTCTAATAGATCTGGTATTTATAAAAATAAAATCCCCTAAGATTAAATCTTTAAAATTTTGAGAATTTTCAAAATTGAATTAGTAATTACTCAATCTCAAACATTTAGAATTGATCAGGAGGCTCACATTTGTCAAGAATAATGTGTTGTGCACCTTACATATAAGAAAGTCCATCTAGCCACTAATGCACATTACAGAAGGTAATGTGGGGATGTGTGCCCTGGACTTGGGAGGAGGTGGCTCCAGGCTGAGAGTCCTGTCTCCTGAACACAGGCTCCACTAGAACACAGTAACGTTCTGTGTTGTTCAGCTGTCACAGTCTGGTAGCCAAGTGGAGTTTTGAGAAAGAACAGAAAGATAATTTATTGGCCTACTGTCCTTGGAATGACGAGGGGAAAGAGGGCAGAGGAAACAATGTGATCTTTACTGCCCGTCATTCTGCCCTAAGACTCCCCAAAGAAGCTAGCAAAGGAAGATAACTTCATCTGAGTCAAATCAATAGGAAGTAGGCAGGACTTTCTTGGTCAAGTAAAACAAGATTTCTTAGAATTTGAACATCTCTAACTTACAACCATTTTAGAAACAGAAATTACAAATCATTTAGAACTAGAACTGTTCCCTCCTCTTCAGGCTCATCCCCACAAAACCACTGCCAAGAGCAGACTCATGTGAGCACAAGGTGCCCTCTTCTCTTCTCTTCTCTTCTCTTCTCTTCTCTTCTCTTCTCTTCTCTTCTCACTTGGTGTTTAGTTCATTCTCAAGTTCTGTTAATTTACGAGAAGCTTTTACTTTGTCAGACACATCTTGACCTTGTGAAAAGAGGCGCTGACGCTCTTTAAATGTCAGGTTTTCAGGGGCTCCAGAACTGCCAGGGAAGTCTGCATCTTGGCTGGACAAGAGGAAAACACAAAGGATTATGCATCAAAATACAAGTACCTAGCCTTTTCATAGGGACCATAAAACTTCAGTGAGACTTGTTCATTTGTTACACATTACCATAATTATATGTATTGGGGCTGACACAAACTACACCTACACTATGGTCTCAACAGAACTTTAAAAACCAATATATGCTCATATAATTACATTTAAATGAACGAAGAGGACAGGGACAGTGGCACAGGTCTATAATCAACGTGGGCCAAACAGTTAAGATTTCAACTTTAAAAAAGTTCTAAAAACAGTAATAAATATATCTATGTAGAAAAGGAGCAAAATGTTCTCTTTACTTAATACAGTAACTTTCAAAAACAACTAAGAGGACTAGAGGTAGCTCAATGGTTAACCAGAGACCGCATAAATACTAGGAATACATGGCAGCCAGCCTGCATTTATAGCTTCAGAAGGAAGAGATGGGATTTCCAGAGTAGCTTGCTAGCAAGACTAGCCATACTGATGAGACACCCAGTCTCAATGAGTAAGGTGGAAGAACAATCTGAGAATTTTTGTCAATCTCAGGCCTCAACATGTACCCACATACATGCAAACATGTGGAAAATACACAGATGTGCCACCCATCCACACTAAAAATGGAAAAATAACTCAATGAGTTTGATTTCACCAAGCTGGCATTTCTTGCCAGCTAAACACGTTTAATTAATAGGGGTTTAGTTTAAGAATACAGCATTTCTACAAATCTTCCATGTTTCTACAAACTTGAGATACATTAACAGACCCAACCAGTCTAATAAGGGGCAGACCAGCACTGTTACATCCAGCTAAATCCCAGAAGCGATCAGCTGCGGCGACAGGCTTAACTGACAGGCCTGGCCTTCATGCCTCTAGCATTACAATCTTACAGCAGGCAGGTCCTGCTGTTGAGTATCACTACCTCAAACAGAAGCATGTTAGCAACACCAACTTTAAAAAAGCCCACATGTACAGGTGTGGTGACTCACACCTGTAATCACAGTAGTAGGGAGACTGAGGCATGGGGGAACTACAAGTTTGAGGCCAGCCTGGCTACACAGTAAGTTCTAGACCTACAGAAACAGACTCTGTCTGGACACGGACATACACACACACACACACACACACACCTACATTCTCACATGATTTTGTACAGTAAAAAAACACCTGGATGCCTGATGAAGTCTAACACAATTCAGCAATGACGTGAAAATGAGAATAATGAGAAAGAAATCAGCATAGATTAGACCCAGCTCAGCCTGCCCTTAAGTACCTTCTAGTGTGCTTCTCTCTTGGGTCCCGGGGAGCATCATGGGCTCCTGAAGCTGTCCCAGCAGATCCCGTATAAGAGTGTGGTCCTTTTCCATGAAAAAAAGAAAAGTCCAAGTTAAAGTATTTACTCATGATAGGGGGTCTGCAGGAAAACGAGCCTCCTTTAATCACTGACACATGAGGAATCCAAGGTTCTTCATATGCTCAAAGATGCATCAGTTTAAAATTCACTACTCTTAGTGGCTAGGTGATCCAATCACTACGTCCAA